ACCTTTGCAATTACCCTCGACCTGAGTGTATTTGTGCCAAGATGTCTACTGACAAGATCACCTTCCTGACCAACTGGTATGGATTGGGATCTCCATTATGATTGCTTGAAACAGGTCACAGAATATATGCTAAATGTTGCGCTCTCTCAAGGCACGCGACCCCGTACCACGCCCCCCTGTACCTCGCTCAGAGCAAGGGCTACTTCAAGGAAGAGGGCCTCAAGGTTGCTCTTCTCGAGCCCAATGACCCCTCCGATGTCACCGAGATCATCGGCAGCGGCAAGGTTGACATGGGCTTCAAGGCTATGATTCATACCCTTGCTGTATGAGCTATCCTTCTTTTTTTTTTTTTTTTTTTTTTTTTTTCACAACCAGTAGCTGACCAAACAACAGGCCAAGGCCCGCAACTTCCCCGTCACCTCGATCGGCTCTCTCCTCGACGAGCCCTTCACTGGTGTTGTCTACCTCAAGGACAGCGGCATCACCGAAGATTTCCGCTCCCTGAAGGGCAAGAAGATCGGCTACGTCGGCGAGTTTGGCAAGGTTCGTCCTCTATACCCTCTTCCTAAACCCACCGCCATATCCTAACCAACGCACCCCACAGATCCAAATCGACGAGCTCACCAAATACTACGGCATGACCGCCGACGACTACACCGCCGTCCGGTGCGGCATGAACGTCACCAAAGCCATCATTCGCGGCGACATCGACGCGGGCATCGGCCTCGAGAACGTCCAGATGGTCGAGCTCGCTGAATGGCTCGCCGAGCAGGGCCGACCCCGCGACGACGTGCAAATGCTGCGCATTGACCAGCTCGCAGAGCTCGGATGCTGCTGCTTTTGCTCGATCCTGTACATTGCCAACGACGCCTTCCTGGCCGCCAACCCGGAGAAAGTGCAGAAGTTCATGCGGGCCGTCAAGCGCGCTACAGACTACGTTCTGGCTGAACCCGCCCGCGCTTTCGAGGAGTACGTGGACATGAAGCCAATCATGGGCACTCCGGTTAACCGGAAGATCTTTGAGCGGTCGTTTGCCTACTTCAGCCGTGACTTGAAGAACGTCAGTCGTGACTGGGCTAAGGTGACCAACTATGGAAAGCGGTTGGGCATCTTGAGTTCCGACTTCGTGGCTAACTACACCAATGACTACTTGTCGTGGGGACTGGATGCTGATTCCACTGATCCCCTCGGTGATCAGAAGCGTATGGCTGAGTTGCAGAAGAAGGTCGCTGCTGAGGGTGGTTATAAGCGGTTGGAGGTTGCTTCTGAGGCTTGATTGATTGTCGGTCAGCTCGAAGAAGGAACCTGCTCGCTTGACACTCTTGGAGCAGAGATGAATCTTATGTAACGGTCGCCTTATGAGTCTAGCTGGATGTGCTAGCTTACGCACTCTTTTAGTATGACTGCAATCTAAATGCACTTTATCATACGATCTTTGAAACATAAAACCAAATGTTCTCGTAGGAGTCCATTCAACCTATGGAAGTAAATCAACCCACGCTATATACTCTAAATCCAAATGAGAATTAGATATAATGCTGTACACATGATCTACTCGCTCACATGCAAGTACTAACAAAACCAGAAAAAGAATTACCATCACCTCCTAACAACATCCATACTCCCCGCCCTCTCCACATCTGGCCCCGAACCCAGCAACTGATCCCCCAACAACGCCGAAAACTCAACACTATCCTCCACCTCTACATCACTCAGATCCTCATCTCCACCGAAGCGTTTCAAAGGCTGGAAGTTCCCGCGTTCCTTATCTTTATCATCCCGTCGACGGCCCCGTAACCACGACACAAGATAGCCCTTCTTGACGCCGAACCATAGAAACGCGCCGATCGCTGCTGTGGAGAACAGCGCAATCGTGAGGAATATAAAAATGGCATAGATTTTGTCACTGTCGCCAAAGAAGGGATCGTTGCTATCACCACTCACGACGACTGCTTCGTTGGAAGTAGGGTCCCATCTTGCCAACTTGCTAGCGGCAAGGGTCTCGCCTTTCGCGCTGACGGCGCGGACGCGTAGGTACTTAAATTTGGTGTCGTTCGGGATGGGGATTACTGTCTCGAAGCCGTCTTTCGGTACGGCGGATAGGAAGGTGGGTTGTGCTGTTTCTGAGATCTTTTCGTTGGTGCCTTCTAGGACCCAGTGTGAGACTTCGGTGGCGCCGTTCCAGCTGGCTGCTGCGCGATAGGCGTATACTTCGAAGTCCGGGAGGGTGTTCGGCTTGCCGACCCAGGGGTGTTTGAAGGTGCGGTAGGAGACGACTTTGCCTGTGTGGAAGTCTCGTCCGGGTGCGAAGTGGGCGTGACAGAGGACTTCGCCGTCCATGCTGAATTCTGTCCATGCGGCGCTGAAGCCGTATCCGACTAGGACGTTGCCGCTGTCGAGGATTTGGATGGAGCCTTGGGATTGGCTTTTTATCGGGTATTCGTTCCAGTACTCGTGTCGGACTTGCACGGTCATGTTGGTTTCGTCGATGTCGAGATAGAGGCCTCGACTTGGGTACTGGGGTGCGCCTCTGCCGCGAGACGAATTGTCAAGGAGGGTGATTGCTGTGCCGTTGTCGCGGAAGCGGGCGTGGTGTTGCCAGGTGAAATTAGTAGCTGCGCCGTCTGAAAGATCGGTGAAATTGCTTCGCTTGCCGCCTAGAGTCCAGATAGTTTCGCTTGTGCGACCGTCGATATAGATCAGGCAGTTGCAGTAGCGGGCCGAGACAAGAAAATTGCCTTTGGCGTCTTTGTCGATGCTGTTGATGTGGAAATAGTCCCACGGGCGTTCCTTATCCTCCCCTGAGCCCTCGCGACCTCGATAGACGTCGGCGATGTCGAAGTGTTCGGAGGCTCGCCATTCGAAGAGGAGCTCGTTCGTCTCAATGTTAACTTCCTGGAACGTTCCATCCCAGATCCAGCCATTCTCAGGACCGCCAGCGACCCGGATATCTGCCGGGCGGATGTCATAGATGGTGTAAACTGCAGTCTCGTCGAGGGTGATGTGGAACTCGTGAAGATCTGCTGCAAGTCCATTCGCACCACTGAGGGTGAAAGCTTCCTGGTACGACGAGTCTAGCTTTATTGGAGACTTTAGTATTGCTTTGCCCCATTACTATGCGGAGTAAAGAAGGTGCCGTACCATGTAGTATGTGCCCTCGCCGTGTCCCACCTTACCGTCGTCGCCCACCCAGAACGTCAAATAATCCTGGCCCTTATAGTTGTAGACATTGAAGTTGTAGGTGTGGCCGTAGGGCTTCGTCCAGATCAAGCGACCCTTGTGGTCTAGGATCATCGGCCCGGGTTTATGCACGCTATACCCGCGCGGAGAGATGAAGTAATATTTGTCATCTCTGCATTGTGGCCCATACTGCAGAAAGTTGACGGCTGCGCCTACGGTGGAAGTCGAACGGTATGTCTCAATGGGCCATGATCCCAGTCTACCCTGTTCGTACAATTCGGAATCGAAATAGGGTCCTACATCTGCCAAGGCAGAGGCCAGGAACAGAAAGGCCGCTAGCGCGACGGTTAGAGTGCCCGGAATCATGGCGCAAGGGGCAAATACGTCGGGCGCTCAGGAGACATGTGTTGAATTGTACAGAGGCAGAGCTGTTAATCAAAAATAGCGCCTCAACGGCGAGTACAAGATATGAATGATAGTCAGGAGAAGAAGGGCATGATGATTATAGGGGAGGACAGGTAGGGGAACTGGCACGATTTTCAAGACCTCGATGGGGGCGCGGGAGATCCACCGTGCCCATCGGTAGTGGCTTGCTTTAAAGCCGGCAGCAGCAGACTATCCAGACAATGGCGGGCTAAATGACGAGATACTCTTCTAGGCTAGAATTGTAATGGCCAGAGCAAGTTGTAAATTGATTCATCCAACGAGGTAGTGGATGCTGTTGGGTATGGTGAGGAGTTCCCGGTGATGTTTTCCTTGTTGGGTCAGGCGCGAATGTCCCACAGCAAAGAATGAATGGAACAAGAAGCTCTGCCGGCCATTACTTTCGCTCGGATCCCCTCAATGGCTGGTATCTGCTCTTTATCGTTCCATCCCTGTATAGAGGACACGGAATTCCGATGGGATAAGGGTAACGAATGGGATAGCTCTGGCATGATACAAGCCTCTTTGATTAAGCCTTTTAGCTGGGATTCTTCAACCAACTAACCAAGCACAACTGGATGGGCACCGTCCCACTCTGTCCGACGTAGCCGGTTGGCCCTGCTCGATAATAATAGTCTCCAATCCCCAGTGCCTATTGGAGGTCCTGCACTGGTGGTTTGGACGAGTCCGACTCCACTCGGCGCCACAGCTTTCTGGCTAAATTGAATTAGATTGGATTTCTGCTGAGGGGTATCAAGTCCTGCCCCAGGAAGGTATGGGTAACAGTATATCGGAACTTCACCGGGACGAGGAGGTCATGCTCATGGCCAGAATTTGCTAAAACCCAATGCAGTCTGTGTAATGAAGTGGTAGCAAGGATAGTCGAGGGCGAGTTGAAGATGTAGTTGAAGAAAGGGCAGGTACAGGTCAGGTGCTGCCCACGTGGGTGGATCTATACCTTTCATTTATCCAAAGTGTCTATCTCTCTACATTGCTGGTCTTCTCTTCTAATAAATACACTATCGCAACTCCCAGCACGACAATCTTAAGGATGTCAACGTCATATCATTTCTAACTCCGAGTATATTCTGTCTAGCAAGAACTGCAGAGCCGATCCCTTCGGCAACGTTTGGCCCGAGATGTGGTGCGGAGATCGGCACGGACACCAGCGTTCTCAAGATCGTGGCATCTCATTGCTGGGTTTGATGTTCGCTGCCCGATTTGATTCGTGGAATGCACTCTGTGAAAAAGCGCTGTAACCCCTCTGGATTCACGATGGAAGTTGTGAGGGGTGTGCAAGGTTTATAAGAGGCAATTCGAGGCTACCATGAAAGTCGACTCGGGAAAATGCTGGAAGATGACATTTCCGCTACGCAGACTAGCACCGCATCGTCATCATGCGGCCTTCACTAGCCTTGACGAGTCTCAGCCTAGTTCCTTATCTCTTCTCCAACGTCGGCGAGGCTAGGATATCCCCGAAGTCTCCACATCCACCCTCCATTGACCGGGCACAAGTAGTATCCAGGTTCAATCCTCGCCGCAATGCCAGCTCGACGAGCACCCCAATGCAGGTGGGAAATGGGGACTTTGCATTCGGAACAGATATTACAGGGCTACAGACCTTTCTGCCATACGGCATTCTTTCTTCCTGGGGATGGCACAATTCGTCACTGCCTGCGAACTCCACTCCATCAGATTTCACGGGATTGGACTGGTGGACGCATGACCGACTAGTGAATTATGATATGCCCAACCCTGCAGAACCAGAGATTTCTCAGTGGTTGATTGCCAATCCACATCGTATCAACCTGGGTCGTATCGGATTGGCTTTCGGCGGAGATTACAGCAATTACACTGAAGAAGACCTGCAGAATAAGTCGCAAAAACTGGATGTTTACCAGGGTATTCTGCAGTCTAATTTTACTATCGATGGCCATCTGACCACCATTACCACCATTGTCGACCCCAGCTCGGACACGATAGCAGTGCGCTTGCAATCCGAACTGTTATTGCTAGGCCTTTTAGGAGTCTTCTTTGACTATCCGTATGCTACGGACGAGAATAAATTCGAAGCACCATTTGTTGGGGATTGGAACGCTGTCTCAAATCATACAACGGTCCTGCACTATACAGGAAATGGTAACCAGGCCCGGGTGCAGCACACCCTCGACAACACCACCTACTACACTACATTGCAGTGGAGTGGTAGTAATGTGTCTGTTTCCAGAGTTCCCAATTCTCATCGATATGTCGTGCAGCCGAACGGTAACCATACGAGAGCGTTTGAATTCACAACAACATTCTCTCCAAATGATGATTTCCCGTCCTCTTCGCTATCTTTTGATGCCATCATTGCACGATGTCAGCAATGGTGGACAACCTACTGGAAAACGGGCGCCTTCGTAGATCTGACGGAAACTGCGAATGCAACAGCAGATGAAATCCAACGACGCGTGATCCTGTCCCAATACCTGCTAGCAGTCAACGAGGCCGGACATGATCCACCGCAAGAATCAGGTCTGGTAAATAACGGGTGGTATGGCAAGTTCCATATGGAAATGTATCTATGGCATTCCGCTCACTGGACTCCCTGGGGAAAACTCCCTTTACTGGAACGGAGCATCGGTGTCTACAATCGGTTCCTTCCCTCGTCGATGCAAAGGGCAGCTGACCAGGGATATAGCGGCTTGAGATGGGGCAAGATGAGCGACCCAAGCGGGAGATCTGCGCCGGGCGAGATCAACGCCCTGCTTATATGGCAGCAACCCCACGTGTTTTACTTCGCAGAGACGGAGTATCAGTTCGCTCGAAATGCTGGAGGAAACACGGAAGATGTCCTAGCGAAATGGGACGACATACTGACAGAGTCGGCAGACTTCATGGCATCCTATGCCTTCTGGAACGCCTCAACAAGCGTATATGATCTCGGCCCTCCAATGTACCCCGTCTCAGAGAATACACCACCCAACAGCACTCGAAACCCCACCTTCGAGTTGGCATATTGGCACTTCGGTCTCGATGTAGCCATATCCTGGAAAGCCCGACGTGGCCAGCAAGCTCCGCAGGAATGGAAACACGTCAAAGACAACCTTGCACCACTATCAACCGTCTATACTGTAGACGAAACGACGGGCGACCAAGTGCTCACATACACACTCTACGAAGGCATCCCACATATGTGGACAGACCCTGATACCGTAACCGACCACCCGGCACTCACTGGCATCTACGGTCTCCTGCCCCCAACCGCAGCGATCAACCAAACACTCGCATCGGCGACCGCAGCCCAAGTCGCCAGTGATTGGAACTTCACGACCTGCTGGGGCTGGGACTTCCCCATGCTGGCGATGAACGCGGCACGGCTGGGAGACGTAGACGGCGCGGTGCAGTATCTGGTGCATTCGAATTTCCAATTTGACGACGTGGGTATGCCGGTGGGGACCAAGGCACCAACCCCTTACTTTCCTGGAAGTTCAGCCCTCTTGTTGGCTGTTGCGATGATGGCTGGAGGTTGGGATGCTGCAACAAACAGCAGTCAGCAGGACTTTGCACCGGGGTTTCCGGCCCAATGGAATGTTCGTGCTGAGGGATTTGGGCAGATGTTGTAGGACGAGGGTGTGACTACTGTACGGTCAACAAATCGTAAATTAATAGTGGACAGCTGTGTATGCAATGTACGTCTCAAGTTCAGCTAATCTATCTCGATGGGGGTATGTAGGGCACAATGTACGGGGATATTATTATGTAGGATTAAAGAAGACGCGGCGGAGAAGGGTAGGCGGGTATATCATTCCTCCGAAGAAAAATCGCCGAAAGTCTTTGCTTATTTAGTGCGCTTGTAGATCTTCGCAAGGAAGGCCTCGAAGACCTCCTTCTTCAGACCCTCCGACTCGTTGATGCTGTTGATCTTGGTGCGGATTTCACCCACAACACTCTCCTCGTATTCCTTGTAGATCTTCTCCAGGTCGAGCTCCTTGTACAGGGCCTTGACCTTGGCCTCCAGCTCGGCGTCCTTACGACCGTAAGCCGTATCGAGAACCTTGCGCTGCTCAGCGTTGCAACGCTGCAGAGCCTGATTGACCAGCCACGAGCACTTGTTATCCTGGATATCGGTACCGATCTTGCCGATGAAGGCGGGATCACCGTAGGCATCGAGGTAGTCATCCTGGACCTGGAAGTACTGACCCAGGGGGATGAGGATGTCGTGGGCCTGACGCAGGTTCTCGGGGGTAGCGAGCTGGAGGTAGTGCAGGGCCAGAGCAACGGGGAGGTAGAAGCTGTAGTAGGCGGTCTTGTAGGTGACGATGAACATGTACTTCTCCATGGAGAAGTTGTCGAGGTTGACGTTGTCCTCGGGGGCGGTGATCAGGTCACACAGCTGGCCCAGCTCGGTCTGGTAGGTGGTCTCGTGGAAGAGCTCGACGAGGTCGATGTAGGCGGGGTGGGAGCGGAAGTACTTCTTCAGGGTAATGTAGATGCCGGACTCGAGCAGGAAGGCGTCGTTGATGGCGATCAGACCGACTCCCTCGTGCTTGTACCAGCAGGGCTGGCCACGACGGGTGATGGAGCCGTCCATGATGTCGTCGCTGACCAGGAAGAAGGCCTGGAGCAGCTCGGTGAGCCAGCCCAGCAGACTGAGGTGCTTGAATTGCTCATCGGTCAGGGGCTTCTTCAGGAGAGCGAGACCGGTGTCGGGGACGGAGAGACCACGGTTGAGCTTTCCACCGGGGACGTTGACGTTGAGAGCCTATTGTAGGGAAAATCTAGGTTAGGGATAGACTTTGGGGGCGAAGACTAAGGGAGGTCAGCACTTACCTTCTCGAACCACTCGAGAGCGTTCTGGGGCAGCTTGTACTGCTTCGCATAGTTCAGAAGGTCTTCCCGCAAAGAGGGGAAGACGGCCTCGAAGTCGGCGCGGGCAGTGGTGGACATGATTGCACGACAGTATTAAGAAGGGGGAAAAGGGAGGAGGAAGAGAGTGAAGGGGGAGAAGGGGAAGCAGCGAGAAGAAGAAGAAAAAGAAGAATGGAGAAGAACAATGGGCAACACACGAGGAGGGGATCCAAATGGTGGTGATCGTCCCAATTCGTCCAGTTAGTGGCCGGCCAGCCCAATTGGGAAAACCCCGCTGTTTGTTCTGTTTGCCCCGTCACTGCCCAGAAAGGAAGGCCATTCGAGATTCCCCGGAATCTTTTGGCGATGCGATGCTCTTCGCCGCGTCTCCTGCCTGTTTTTGACATTGTTTTCTGCCTGCACGCTTGGCGCTTCTTATGCGCTCTAATTAATTGGCTCCGTTGTCTCAGAACCTTTTGACATCACTTGTCTCCACCGTCTCTGGAGCGCGCAAGATCCACCAAGCAGCAATGCTCCTGGCGCGTCACTAACTATAGCTAGCTACATACACTCAACTCAGCAGAGCTCCGCGGCTTTCTTTGCTATACGCGTGCGCATTAACGCGCGCAAACACCTTCGCTACCATGGCCGTCCCATTTACAGACGAGAACATCAAGGAGCTCAGATTCCGGCTCGAAGATGCGGCGATTAAATGCTCCGAACGTTGTTTATACCAGTCAGCCAAATGGTACCGTTACCGGCATCACCCTGGCTCACCTCCATGAGCAGTCACTAACCTTGCGGGTCAGGGCAGCTGAAATGCTAGATTCGATCGTACCAATTGAACAGTACGACACAGATCCAGACTCGCCAATGGACTACCCCGAAGCTCCTTCGAATGCCCAGAACCCTTATCTCCGAACACAAGATCCGCTCGAAGCAGCCCTCGAAGCGCAGGAGTCATACAAGTACCTCCTTGCGAAATCTTACTTTGACACCCGCGAATATGATCGTTGCGCCTCGGTCTTCCTTCCTCCGACCATCTCCCCCGTTCCTCTTACCTCAACGCCGCCGAATCCCAAGTCTAGACAGTCGTTGACTCCGCAGAAAGGGAAATCGAAGGCTTCGGCATATAGTAGCGTGAAAGATAATAGTGTGACCAGAAACCCGTACCCCAAGCTCAGCCAGAAATCGCTGTTTCTAGCGTTGTACGCCAAGTATCTAGCAGGCGAGAAGCGCAAGGATGAAGAGACCGAAATGGTATTGGGACCAGCAGACGGAGGCTCGACTGTCAACAAAGAACTACCAGATTTGGCGCGAGGACTAGAGGGATGGTTCACGGAGCGGCAAGATAAGGGACTGGAAGAGCGTAGCCAGGGATGGTTGGAGTATCTGTATGGTGTCATACTTCTCAAGGGGCGAAATGAGGACGAGGCCAAGAAGTGGCTTATCAGGAGTGTTCATCTGAACCCATTTCATTGGGGTGCCTGGCAAGAGCTTAATGACCTGCTGGCGAGCACAGAAGATGTATGTCGCGTTGCATATTCTTGTTATCACAAGTCGCTGACCGCTACCACAGTTGAACCAAGTGGTCAATCTTCTACCCTTGAACATCATGACCCTCATATTTCGCGTATACTGCAGCCAAGAGCTGTACCAGGCCACCGAAGATACCTACCAGTCACTATCCGAACTGGAAACAATCTTCCCCACAAGTGCCTTCCTCAAGACCCAAAGAGCTTTGTTATACTACCACTCAAAAGGTACGGCTGCACGACAAACACACCTTGCATACCCAAGCTGACTTCCTATAGACTTCGAAGAAGCCTCCAGTATCTTCACAGACATCCTCGTATCATCTCCCCATCGACTCGACAGTCTCGACCATTACTCCAACATCCTATACGTGATGGGCGCGCGCCCCCAGCTCGCATTCGTCGCGCAAATCGCAACCGCCACAGACAAATTCCGCCCCGAAACATGCTGCGTAGTCGGAAACTACTACTCGCTCAAATCCGAGCACGAAAAAGCCGTCATGTATTTTCGCCGTGCACTAACCCTGGACCGAAACTTCCTCTCAGCCTGGACCCTGATGGGCCACGAATACATCGAAATGAAAAACACACACGCCGCTATCGAATCCTACCGTCGCGCCGTCGACGTCAACCGCAAAGACTACCGCGCCTGGTACGGTCTCGGCCAAGCCTACGAAGTCCTCGACATGTCCTTCTACGCCCTATTCTACTACCAACGAGCCGCGGCCCTCCGCCCCTACGACCCCAAAATGTGGCAAGCCGTAGGATCCTGCTACGCCAAAATGGGCCGTATCGAGCAGAGCATCAAAGCACTCAAACGAGCCCTCGTCGCTGGCTCCTACTACGCCGATGATTCCTCCCAAGTAGGAGCAGGAGGGGGACCAGAGCGGAAGATCCTCGATCCCGAAACCCTCCACCAGATCGCTACGCTATACGAACGTCTTGGCGATGACGAAGAAGCGGCTTCATACATGGAACTCACACTTCAGCAAGAATCAGGCCAAGTGATCCAGGAAGAAGAAGACGCTTCATCTGATAATGACGATGATGATAATCAATCTGGCACGGAGGGACAGTCTAGCTCTAGACGGACGCGCAAATCTTCCACCCAGCAGAATGAGGATGAGGACGACACTTGGCATGGTACGGGCGTTACGGCTACGACTTCCAAGGCTAGGTTATGGCTTGCAAGGTGGTCCTTGCGGAATGGGGACCTTGAGCGTGCGGATCAGTTGGCGGGTGAATTGTGTCAGGATGGGGTTGAGGTCGAAGAGGCGAAGGCTTTGATGAGGGATGTTCGCGCGCGGAGAGAGGGGGATGAGTGACCATCGTTGTTGTTGTTATCACGGGTTGGGGTTTTGTGCTCCGTCTCTTACGATCTTCCTGCATTTCCTCGGGGCTATTACTAGCGAGGCGTTTGGGGGAGAGTCATGATGAAATGTGATTTCATAGAAGATATCTCTTTTAAATGGTTACTCGTATATTTATTAATGACTGGTAATAAAGCTATATACAGACGCAGGCAGCAGGAGGAAGCTACTGTATCTCAAATGTGGCTTGTGTCACATGGGCCAAAGGCTCAGTGGGACTGCTTTTCTCCCAGAAGACCCACCTCACGTCTATCGAAGCTGACCGTGATTTTAGGCCTAGTGTAAAGCGCATCGCAGTCTCTAGCTTGGTCTTCAAATGAGTTGTGACCTGGAGGTCCATCAAACGTCCAGCTCACACAAGCATAGAAGAACGCCTTGCTGATGCCTTCCAATGTCTGATGAAGGCAAAATTTCGTATCATCACTGCTGATGTTGAGTTTAAGAAAGCTCGAGTCGAGGATCATAACTTTCCCGCCCTGGTGGTGGCTGTTGATGTGGTAAGATTGAAAGGTATTTACTATGGCTCTGATTAGATCAGGGAGAACTGTACACAGCGCATCGCTCTTGCCAGGTATCATGACCAGTCCGTATGCTGTGCCATGCGGGACTGCGTGATGTTTGGATGTCCTGGGGCGGCATTGTGTATCTGGGCGTGTTATTTTTCGGACGAACTCATTGAGGGTTGGTGCTATTTTCCAAGCGTTTGGTATGGGTTGAGATAATACCATGTCATCGGAGGAGATGTCATGGTGAACGTATATAGAATTGTGGAGCAGTGGTGATAGAATACGCTGAGTTGCTTTCTGGCAGAGGTGGGGAGCCACGGTTTCATTGCCGGATGGGCGGTTGCTGCAAGTTTCCAGCGTCATATTGGACTCGATTTGGCGGTCTATTAGTTTATGAAGGGATTCAGAGTGCTTTTGCAACTTGTCTAAGCCACTCGAAGGACCAGGCATTTGACTGGGGCGGGAGGCTTTCTCTGCATCAGAGAACCCGGTTGTCTGGGTTGAGTTCTTCCTCTGTCCGGCTGCATGAGAAGATAGATTGGCATTATCTGTCAGATACTTGCCGCGTACACTCTGTGCTGTAGGTGGGGATGGGTCTCTATTGAGATCCACATGGATGGGGATGGTACGTTGCATAGCGCTGCTTTCGCGGCTTCGTTTGGTTTGTCTCGCGGAACCAAGTAACGCGTCTGGGGCGTTCAATGCATTGTTCGAGGGAGACACAAATGCCCCAGTACCTGAGTCGTCTTCAGCAGTAGTCGAAGACTGGAGAAAGGGGCTCTGTGTTGTCTGGAGACTTTGTGATCGATCCGGTGTACACTCCGAGCGATCTCGTAGCTTCATCCGTTTGGCTGCTTCATACTCTTGATTTCCTGGATCCTCATCAAGGGCAGATCGAGCAGTTTCTGCTAGTAGCTGCAACTCTCTGTATGACGCAGCATCCTCAAATGATCGATCAGAATGGACCTTCAAGATCCTAGGGAAACGCAGTGTATAGTATCTGGCGCCAGACGGCTTTTCAAAGCCACTGCCTAGCATCTCAACGACAAAGGGTGTCTTGAAGACGACGTCCATAGGGTTGACTACACTCTCCCCATATTCAAGGATGAATCCATGTTCGAAGTCTGGACTGCGGGCGCAGAACCCGCCGAACTGATTCAAGAACTGCATGAACCTGACATGCATGCAGTGGTGGTTGATAATATCGAGGACACGAAATTTGGGTTTGGCCCCAGATTGCACAACCATCTCTTTATTGACGAGGCACCCAATGAAGAATTCAGTCCATGAGAGCTTTTTGACTTGCTTGATTGCCATAGCATCCCGAGAGTTGTACCTCGCGCCAATAATTGCGAGGTCGACGGTGTCACCTAGTCCAGGTATATAATCTTTCTTCAGCTTGATCCAGCGACCGAAGGAAGGATTGTCCTTGTCATCAGAAAAGATTGTAAAGTAAGGGTCTTCACTTGCTTTGAGGACAAACCCTTCCCATCGCTCAGTGACGCCTTTGTTGAAGATACTTTCTAGTCGGGATTGACCGCCATGATGGGAAAAGTCAACAACCCACTGCTCAGATATATCCGCACGCCCTGGGATTGGCTCTATAGTGTCTTTCAGAAGCAATCTCCGCTCACGGTGTGGAAGCCTCAGACAAACATTGTCATCCATAAGCAGAATGTCAAAAAATACTATCATCAGATGCTCATAAGGTTGTGGACTATTGTATTCAAGTCAGAAGACAACGCTGAAAATTACATGCCATGTCACTTACGGAGAGTCACTTTGAGTTCCAATGAAAGTGCCTGAGCGCGATATGAATTTACGCAACTTATGAAAATCAGCGATGCTGCCATGTTTGTCGCTCCAAACAAGCAATTCGCCCTCCAGGATGCATCGTTGGGAAATCTTGCAACCCGGCCGTCTTAGCTTCAGTGATTCGCTAATGACTTGATGGATACCGGCACGGTCTCCTGTTGAATCTTTACCGCTTTTAGAAAATATTTGGATCCAGTCCGAGCCCTTGGACAGGTCGATATGTATCTGGCAATATTCACCGTCATACTTCCTTTCGATACTCATGCGACGGTTGCCGATCATGCGACAGCAATGTTTGATGCTCCTAGCCTTATAGTACTCGGGTCGCCCTATCTTGACTCCCACAGCAGGACTGAGATGCCCTAACGCGATGATTCCCAGGTCTTTGGCTAATGCAGCATCTGGTTGAGGTGGAAAGTGTTTAATGGGACTAGAGCCTAGCACGCTTAAAGCGCGTTCGAAAGAGTCCTGAAAGAGAAGTAAATGCGGAAGGAGGAAATGAAAACGCTTCAAGATGATGTTTACCGGCAGAGAAACAGGAGAGTAGCTTTTCAGTATCATTCGAGTAAGCCATTTCGCATCTCTGCTACTTAGCCGTCGGTATAGAGGGGACAACGTCTGATCGACCTTGACAGCCGTACGCTGTCTTCGCACCCGAGGACCAGAAAACCTGCAACGAGAGGAGATTTCAGCTAAAGCTTTGTCTATCTCTTCCACAGTGACATCCTGGCCGTTGCTGACATGGTTTTCAGCCTGCCGCATGACATTCTCCACGCATTGTCCCAGGTCTACGCCTCCGGATACACGCCAACGCTCGAGCTCCTGCCGCCGTGAACAGCCCAGAAGGAGGCACCGTGCTATGATTTTGGCCAGCGATGTATCCTGTAGCCAGTAGACACGGTCTGTCCGTTTCTCTGGAAACATGCAGGAAAGGAGAGCCAACTGGTCGGTATCTTTATCGCGGATCCTCTTTTCATTCTGGGCGAACCATCGTGATACGGCACGGATGTCGGGGTTCACAACTTTGGCTTCATGGGCAGCTTTCAGGACCCTGTTTTCTTCAAGGGTTGATAGTAAGTCGCACAGGTGAGCAAATTTGAACCCCATATGATAGTAGTAGCCGTGACAGGCGCAATTCTGGTGTCAGTATCGATGGCAGGCATCAAAAACAGCCGAGTAGCCACCCGAACCATGACAACTAGGCGAAGCACAGCCTATTCCATGAGGCTACTGATATTCAAGAATGCACAGTCCAGAGATAACCAAGAAGAAGCAAGTGAGACTGGGGGAAGACGCGGGGCACAAAAGTTGAACTGGGAGCTACGCGAACGGGACGCGAAACCACGTGATACGAGCCAAAGTTGGGATCATATTGAGATTTTGGCTCCTAATTTCTCCGATGATGATATCGTAATATTCTTGGGGTGTAGAATACATAAAAGCAAAGCTGTCTAGTCTTCACTTTGCTTTGATACAGCCATTCCCAACCAACACTATCCCAGTGACCACGCAGCATTAAAGAAATTCGAGAAAGGACACCCACCAAACTCCAGGCTTTTCAATATGAAATATGGCGAAAGGCAATGCAAAAAAACATGAAGAAAGGTTGACCCGGGTCGCCGATTATAGGATACCTTGCTTTTGCAGACTGGTAATCATTAGTAAAAGTTCCAATAGGTCGCGGGATTGTTGGGGGCACGTACTCAAGGTAGATCCTCTCCGGCATCACATTGCCTTCAGCATCCTCCATCTGTACCACATTGTCGCGGTTATCTCTGTCCTTCTTGCGGTCCTGCTCTAGCTTCTCCCAAAGCCTGATTGCATCCTCAATCCGAGTGATCTCACGGAAAAGGTTGGTATTGGAAGTGATTCCAAGACACTTCAAACCAAAGATATGTAGAGCCTCCGAGAAGTGCTTGTCAAACGCACGACGACCCATATAAACAAAGTTACCGCAGATCTCGCAAGGATACTCCACCCCAAGGCCGTGCAGCTTGTAAAGCCAGTAAGGAATTGGCTTGCCATCCCAAGCAAGTGGCAGCTTGAGGGGATTGTAGATTCGATCTTCGTCGTCCTCGTCAGATTGATCGCCAGCACGATCACCGCCAGGGTTTTCGGACTCATTAAGCAGAGCTTCAAGTTCCATCTGGCGCTCCCGTTCAGTCATACCCTGTCTCCGCTCGACATTGAACCTCGTTGCTTGACGCTCGGGCTGCAGTACCTGCGTCAAAGAACGCACCCGATGTTCTCTCTCTGCGACTGCACGTTCCTTGAGTCTATGAGCCACGGATGATGTGCCGTTTGTCGCAGGGGCTGCTGGCTTTGCGTCATCCCCGGCGGTTTTGCGTGCTTCAGCGGCCCGGATATGCTTCTTTCCTGTCAGGTGGTTCTTGTAGACATTCTCATTCTTGAACTCCCTCTCGCAGTCAGCACACCAGATACCTTCTCCGGAGCCCTCGGTCTTCGGACCCTGGGTACCGTTCTGAGCAGCCTCCTCTGTCCAACCAGGGACCTCGTTCGCCGCCCACTGCCTTTCGAACTCCTCATCAAAGCTAGCAAAAAGTTTGTCCAGATCTTGCAACGGCTTCACCTTCTTAATGAAGCTTTCCAAGTAGTTTGCGAGTTCGCCGACATATTTGAAATACCGATCGGAAAGCTTATTGTTTCGCTTGATCGGAAGTTGTGGAGGAGTAAACGCATCGAAGATGTCGAGATACTGTACATATGAGAGCCGTTTTACCCCAGGCAAGTTCAGGTAGTCTTCGTGCAATGTCGTGAGGTCCAGAAATTGCCCATAACCCTCTTCACCAGTGAACAGATTGTCGATCTCCATTCCCGTTACTTCGCCCTCTCCAGGCTGACGGCGCTTATAAGCCCGCTCAAGGTTTTCGACTGGTTCATTAGGATAGCGCCTGTGAAAGTCCTTAATCTCATCCAGTTGCTTGTAGAATTCCTCGAATTGATCGCCGGTTGAGATGGTTTGGATTTCCTTCTCACGCGCGCCGTCCGCATCCTTGTAGATGTCGAGTAACCTCTTGGACTGGTCTTCGATACGCTTCAAAAAATGTGCGACTTCGTGGTCACGAGCCAGGCGATCCCGTATCTGAAAGTAAAAGAGTAAGTTAGCAGAGAGCGACGAGATAGAGACTGATGGGTTACTTACATTACGAGGCTCTTCGGCGACGCGGTCGGCAATCGCCTGCTCCAGGCGCTCAAGGTCCTCGTGGATGAACCTTTGCTCTTCGAAAATCATTTTTGTTGCGCACACAAGGCTCTACCTGTCTTCTGCAGATTAAAGGACTTCTGAAGATCGGGGATGGAAGCGGGCATCTCATCGCCATCCAAGAGAGCTTTGCGGCGAGCTATCGTCACGTGCGGCGGGCGGTGAGGCCTCGGTCGCAACGAAAAGTCGCGCCGCAGAAGCTGGGCGATTCTTCTGCTACTCCACCAGGCCAGCTCCCCTCCTCCACTGACTTGATTCTGTTTTCCTTCATCCTCTTGCTTCAAATTACAGACCTGGTGTATTCAACATGGCGGACGGAATTGACAGACGCGCTGATGGTAGGACCTCAAAGTTCCCAACTGTCATTCACGCCTGTATACTAACTGCGCAAAACTAGACCGCATGGAGTTCAACACCTCGAAGGAGGTCACTGTTGCTCCTACCTTCGAGGACATGCACTTGAAGGAGAGCCTTCTCCGTGGTATTTACGCTTATGGTTATGAGTCTCCGTCGGCTGTCCAGTCCCGTGCCATTGTTCAGATCTGCAAAGGTCGCGATACCATTGCCCAGGCGCAATCCGGTACTGGTAAGACCGCTACCTTCTCGATCAGTATCCTCCAGGTCATCGATACTGTCGTCCGCGAATCTCAGGGTATGTAATATGCGCTTAATTGCAAGTGGTGGTTGTATTCTCACACCTGACAGCTCTCGTCCTTTCCCCCACTCGTGAACTTGCCACCCAGATTCAGTCCGTCATTATGGCCCTCGGTGATTACATGAACGTCCAATGCCACGCTTGCATCGGAGGCACGAATATCGGAGAGGATATTAGGAAGCTCGACTACGGTCAGCATGTTGTTTCGGGCACCCCGGGCAGAGTCGCCGATATGATTCGCAGACGCCATCTGCGCACCCGTCACATCAAGATGCTGGTTCTCGATGAAGCCGACGAACTCCTCAACCGTGGATTCCGTGAACAGATTTACGACGTCTACCGCTATCTTCCTCCTGCCACCCAAGTCGTTGTCGTTTCCGCTACCCTCCCCTATGACGTGCTCGATATGACCACCAAGTTCATGACCGACCCCGTGCGTGTCCTGGTCAAGCGTGACGAATTGACCCTTGAAGGCATTAAGCAGTACTTCATTGCGGTGGAGAAGGAGGAGTGGAAGTTCGATACCCTTTGCGACCTTTACGATACCTTGACGATCACCCAGGCGGTCATCTTCTGCAACACCCGTCGCAAGGTCGACTGGCTCACCGACAAGATGCGCGAAGCCAACTTTACTGTGTCCAGCATGCACGGTGAAATGCCCCAGAAGGAGCGTGACAGCATTATGCAAGATTTCCGCCAGGGTAACTCCCGTGTGCTTATCTCCACCGATGTCTGGGCTCGTGGTATCGACGTGCAGCAGGTGTCCCTGGTCATCAACTACGATCTGCCCACCAACCGTGAAAACTACATCCACCGTATCGGTCGTAGTGGTCGTTTCGGACGTAAGGGTGTTGCCATCAACTTCGTCACCAGCGATGACGTGCGCATCCTCCGTGACATTGAACTTTACTACTCCACTCAGATTGACGAGATGCCCATGAATGGTATGTTAAACCTAATCTACATCACGAAGCTCAGATATAGCTAACCTAATTTTCTAGTTGCCGATCTTCTGTCATAAGCGATATAATTATGCCTAGCGTATCGACCAATCTATTCTTAACTATGGTCACCTAAGAGTCATCACCTGGCATCAAGCTCGCGCATCCTAAGATAACCAATACCTCGCTCCTCCGTATACAAATCAACAAGGTGGACAAAATGGCCCAGAACATCGTGAAGGGGCGGAGAATCGCGTGGAGGAAATGGGAAAATTATCAAATTGGTTAGTCCACTATCACGTTTTTACAGTGTACCAACCACGCATCTGACAGCATTCCAGTGTTGTTCGAGTAGATGAATTGTCTACGACGCCAATGTCACTCAATCCAGCGGCGTGGATCCAGTCCAGTCAGGCTGGCCACGTTCTACCCTTTTCATCTATTTTTTGAATATTCCTTCTGGCGTTTGAATTGTTCCGGGGTTTACATACTATGTTTGGAGTTTACTATTATTATTACGATCGAGTGGAAATATCAACGTTCAAGAGTCTTGTGTGGTCTGTTTATACTAGTCTGACTGGCCATATTTACATCCCTCAAAAGTACATTTATCCATATCCATTTTATCCCATCCCGCTCTCTCTTGCAAGTATCCAGTACTAGTAGTACTTGCCCGTTCTAGTCTACAATCACCACATGAGTAGATAAATCAATCAGTCGATAGTACCCAAGCAAATATTTCGATTATCAGATGCATACTCTACTACCGCTACCACCAGCCAACTTTCCAACCTCAGAAGATACAGAGAAAGGAGAGAGAGAGAGAGAGAGAGAGAAAGCGAAGCAGGGGTAACGAGAAGCAAACATGAACTCGATGACCTCTTGAGCACAAAAGCAGAGAGGACTCCGATACGCAACGCACAAAGAAACAAACGGGAACATGACACCAAAGCACACTCCTAAGTAGTCCCTGAAAACCTGGCATGATTCACGACCCAAAGGGTGGACAGTAACGACAATGACAAACAGACCATTAACCGTAAACGTTGAAGTCTTTATAATATGTAAGAATATGGGGTGGGATGGAATATGATATAATGGATAGGGACGCCATGCCTTGGTGCAGTGGCTTATTACGGCACTGATGGCAGGCGCGCCGGGGATGGTAATGATGAATGTGCGGAAGGAAAAGAAAGAGAAAAGTGAAATTGATGCAAAGCATATATTGATCTGTACCAAAAGCAGCGGCGCCTGCAACCTGTATTAAATGGATCACTGACGATGAGCCAGCAAAAATGCGTATATGCAGGGTGGAGTGAATAAACGGGAGCAGTTGGGTTCGGAGTAGAGATGAGGGAGAAAGCGGATGGAGTGAATGCGAGGGATGTTTAAGCTGGAGCTGCTTCCAAGTATGTATAGACTATATGGGATTGCCTGCTACTCCTGAAACGGGAGCACTAATTGAAGCTTGATGTTGAACGCAGAGCGCTAGTGCGAGTGAAACCACTTGTTGATACTGCCCTGTGCTTGCCCGCTGAAACATTCGGTCGTATGTCACGTTCACGTGTCCAACTAGAGAACTGTCAGTCAAAAGACTATCTGGGTGGAGGGAGGAATTGACGGGCCGGTGCTCACATTCTAACCAAGCAGTCGTCGCCAGCAGAAGCAAACATTCCTGGGTCTCGAGGATTCCAGGACATGGAATTTACACATCCTCGTACGTGCCCCTCTAATGCCTCTACAAGTGTGCCAGCTTCTTTGTGGAAGATATAAACACGAGAATCTAGAAACACATTAACCAAAGAAGGTGAGAATGTGTGTTCGAATGATGCTCACCTTCACTTCCACTGACAATAAAGTTTTCCGCCGCACCACCAAAAACACTGCGAATGACGAAATGCCCTTGTTTCTGCCCTGAAAATCGACGCACAACGTCTGTGGTGTTGATGTCAACAAGCTGTATTTGTCCGTCGGCGGAGTTGATCAACATGTGACGGGAGTCCCTGCTAACAGCGACGGAGGTTGGCTTGCTTTTCAGGGCTAGACAGTATTCTTCATCGCGGGTCGCAAGGTTGTAGACGTGGACCTTCTGATCGAGGTCTGCCGCGATAAGTCTCCGGCCATCGGGCGTGATAGCACAGTCTTGGACGCGGAAGCCTTCCGGCCACATGTATAGGGTCTGTCCACGCATGCCCCAATGACAGAGTTGCGAGCTCACGTCCAGAGCCGCCGTTACGAAAGACTCGCCATCAGGAGCCCACGCCGCAGCTGTCACGGGATGACGGTGGTGATTGATGGTCAGAAGGCAACGACCAGTCTTTGCCAATTGTCAGCACAAACACCGTCCTCGAACACGAAAAGGGGTCACTGTACCTCAACGCTCCACACGCGGGCGGTCTTGTCCTGAGAACAGGTAATGATCTTCGAGTCATCCGGGCTCCATGCACACTGTGCAACACCATCCTCATGACCCAAGAGCTTCTGTATCACAGAGAAGGTGCTGGTTTCGTAAATGATTACCGTCTGATCTTTGCTGGCAGTGACCAGCTTCGTCCCGTCGTTGGAGAACTGGCACCACCATACCTCGTCGGAATGCTGGTTCAACTCAATCCCGGTCCGCAAAGGAAAGTCTTTGCGATCACACATGTGATCTGAATATAATGAAGGTGGTGATGCGGAGTTATGGTATAAGCACTGGTTGATCTGTGTTTGTTTGACGTGATCCAGCAGAATAGCAAGACGATTGTCCGGGATCATTACAGAGGGCGATATTGACCCTGCTAGGTTGTTAGCGGTATGCGGCGTTACAGCTCCGAACGCTGGGTTTGGGGACTCACGAGACAGTTCCGATAACAAACGTTCTCGAGAAGAGCTTATGGGACCGTCCCAGCCGGCCTGGTCGTGGAGATGTTCCGGGGGGCACATGAGTAGACTAGCATGAAAGTCAGTTTCACTCACGGTGGTGCCGCGAGAGCTTGTCAGCATGGTGTGCTCACCTGGACAGGGCGTGTAACCGTCCTATGTCATAGTTCAGAGGTGTCAGTTCATGTCTCAAAACTATTAGGGCCGCCGCCAAATCGCGGGCTTCCAACAATTCGAGGAATTTTTGCTGTCGCAGGTAAAAAAGCATTTCGTTCTTTTGAGCATCTTCCACCAAAACCAGCTTCTCCCGATTCGTCGCTTGCTCGCCGGTATTACTCCTCCAACCACCTCGATCCGGATAGAATGATTGCACCAGTATATGTTCCGCCTCGGTCCATCGGCCCTCTAACACCGCATTTCTAAATGTAGCAACTGCTGGGCTCTCCAGTTGATACCCACTCTCCTTGCTTAGAAGCGTCGCGGCCCCATCATAGCCAAGGTCAAACAGGGCTTGAATCAAGATCCTGGTAACTTCTTCTCGGTCATGACCATAGTATGACGGAGGGCCGACTGATGCCTTTTGAGAGCCATTCGTGCGTACGTCTCCGTTGGAGGCTGTGAAACTCGTTTGGCCGTTCAGAGAGTGGGCGAAAGCTGTCTTCTGGGACGGGGATGCATTTGAGCCATTCAACGTATGGGAGGAGCCGTTTGTACTGGAAATGCCATCCGGGCGCATATTTGCCAGGCGCCTGCGCTTGGGGTACGGTTCGGGGCCCTCTGATGGGGCGCGTGACTGAATACTGCTGGATGTTCGAGACCTGGCCTCGCTTGCCGTGCGATCCTCCGCGAAACCTCCTGTTCCCTCAAAAGTGTGTTCGGGCGTATCCGGTGTGCTGCTACGGCGCCGTCGACGAGCAGAGGATGAATGCGGGTTTCCGAGAGCGCCCACTGTACCGTAGTTGTAGTTGGCTGTCGGTCTTTGGAGGAGAAACGGGGAAGGGCCGCCCGGAGCGGAAGTGAGTGGACGGGACGCTGAAGATTGGCGGGGGATAGGAGGGTCAGGGTGGTCGGGAGCGGCGGAGGAGGGTATATAGAAGGGATGATTGTCTGCCAGTTCGAAAACGTTCAGATCTGCCCTTCCGCCTGGCTCTGTAGGAGAACCAGGAGAGCAGACCTATATCAGCGGCGGGTCACTGATACTCGCCGAGGCTCGTTTCACGGGGTGGGAGCTCGTTGAGCAACTGGGTGGTCAATCAATGTGTTGGGCTTGGGTGAAATAGATATCGGTGGAGGTTCTGAGGTATCAGGTTCTGGTCAGCTCCTGCACTGTAAGATGGATGGACTGGGTGGGTAGTTCGTGCAGTCGTCGGGCGGAGGTCTTATCGGACTAGGATCAGATCCGGGGAAAGACGACCGATTGTCGGGAATGAAGGACAAGGAGTAGGAGAGGCGGTACAGACTGTGTTCAGGAGCAGATAGGGATGAGCGAAGTAGAGTCGAAGGGGAACTTAGAGTAACAGAGTCAAGCGAGAGCGTATGGCCGGTAATCAAGCGTGGGGGGGGGGGGGCAGAGTAGGTGGTAGATAGCAGGAAGCTGGAAGAACGGAAGTTCAGTTGAGGTCGAAGCAACATCGGCGGCTGGTCTTACTCTTTCCTGGTGGCCGTGGGGCCAAGCAAGCAGTCCCGACAATCCAATCCTCTCCCCCATCGATTAATCCCACTGCGCGGTTTCGCCCTTCCAACCACGCCCTGCCCGAGCCCTACTGTGTCGATCGATAATTCTACTTTTGTCCTTTGGATCCTTGTCCAAATAGCGCGATGGTCTGCAGTACAGATCAGGGATCATTTCAGACTCTACAGTGTATCATAGGAGTTTACATTGATGAGTCGAGACAATTATCGACCCTGACGATTAATGATGACGATGATACAATACCGTATGACGATACTGACCAAAGGTTATCAGAAAAAGAAGAAAACAGTGGCTTTCCTGCACTCATCCTCTTTGGGTTCTTTTCCAGCTGTGATTGTCTCTCTTTCTGTCTGTTCCTTTTTCTCGCTTCTTAAGTTTTTCTTATATTTTTCTTTTTTCTTGTCTCTTCCCGCGGTGATCTTCCCTCCCCTGGACACTCTAAGCCTTCAAGGTGCACATCGTAGAACAGATGGGGTTCCCCAACTACCCGGTTGATCTTCAATTCACACACATCACCTGAGTTCTTCTCCGATCGGTTCCAGAGCAGCTGACAAGGGCAATTCCGATAATGACACCATCCCCGATTATCAGGACTGAACGGCGGTTATCCAAGGGGCATGGCCCAACGGTTGGCGGGATTGGATCCCAGATCATCACTGCCACCTAATCTAGTCTATATCACCTGCACATTCCACTCGGAACACATCAAATGAGCTGTTCCCATGTCAGTGTCAGGGGCGCTCCAAGCTTAGGGACCTTATAATATCCTCCCCCTTAAAACTCCCTTATCTCCTCTCATACTCTAACCATCTACCCATGGAGGCACGGACTTCGCAACTACTACAGCACGGTATGCCATGCAGCCCAATAACGCCACAGCCTACTAAGACATGTACCCAACCCCAACTAAGTAAGCAACCCACTGTGGAGGCATGCCATTTGGTACCACTGGAAAAGACCCAAGTGGGTATGTCGATTAGACGCTGTTGGTGAGTGTGGAGGCCCCAGACCTCATTAGACTCCATCGGATGCAATTCCCTTGCGCATCACCATGTTCCAGATAAATGCCTCTAGGACCGTGCGACACCTTCCAGACGTGACTCTAACACTGCATTTTCTGAACCCACAGTTAAAGCCTGCGGTTATCCGGGTTAGGAAGCTTAGGGTAGGGAGGTCTGGCAGCCAAATAAATGGTTTGTTCAAGTGTGGGACCAGGTTCCCCCGCAGTTGCATGAGCACCTCTTAGTACATTTGTCTTCATGTCTCCTTTGAGCTAACCAAGCTCGGGCACAAGGAGACCCCCTGTTAGCACTCGGGGGTCAATCAGATTGGTGGATGCTGCTAGTACCTGAAACGGTGCCAGATGCCATACATTGCTAGGTTCACTACAGGTGCCCGGCGTTCTTCACCGCTGCTTTCAAGAAAGTATCGGCTTTGGTCAAGTACCAATGCATTATTTAGGCCTCAGACACCCGTATTCTAAGCGAAAGACGTGACTTACGAGGCTTTCAGGGGCATACTTGACGCATCCTGCCTGCTGCTGAGGCCCGCCTAACGCTGTGTTTGATGGTGGCGCTTATTTTCCGCACTAGTAACTGATTATCGCATATTCATGGCGGTTATCACGGCCTTCACTTATTCCATGTTAGATGGCTATCTATAGAGTTCAATGTTCACGGTACATAGCGCCTATAAACAGTTGATGGATCTAGCCAGGGGTTTAGTTTGATACGATCGACTCCTCCGAAAGTATGGATTTCTGGGCTGGTGTCGGAATCGCGGGTCAGGGATTACATCGTTTCAACGTTCTTTGTTCCAGGAGGCCGGTATTCTTCAGACAAACAACTCCCTGGGGTCGGTTCACTCTTTCTGACCGCGTGGTATCTGGACGGGAGCATCTGAATTAGTGGGAACCAGTCAGTGGAGTCGTGCAGTGAATATGAGAATGTGCAGAACACTGGTATGTTCCCCATTATGCGGCAACCCAGGCCAACAGCATAGGAATCTAGTACCTCAGAAAAGTCAACTAGTGTCATAAAATTAAGCTTATCCCCTAGAATTCCATTTAACGGGAACAGAATCCGTGACGGCCAGGCTAGAGCCGAAACCAGCAACAGCCAGATCTGACATCAACTGGGAACTAGACCGTAGTAGACCAGCCACTGTAACCATCGAAACGGGATGTGCAGAGTCAAAGAAACATATGCACCGCTATATCCTAGACACATACCTACCATGCTTCTTTGATAGTAGCAGCCAAATAGGTTCTCTTGCCTATCACCGTATACTATACTACTACCTACCCACACCCTCTCTCAACCTATCCAACACCGTCTCACAAATAGTATTATCCCTACAAATCATATCCGAGGCCTACCCATCATCCAATGACTAACACTACCCTCCCCGATCTCATAATGACATAAGTTCAACCAACCCGAACCGCTCCGCTCCGCTTCCCTAATTATGCCGGCGGAGGGGTGTGGTGCACCTGACCTCATGATGACTTTATCCCTCAACCGAGACCTTCCTTCCCCTCCACCCCGCCATCCGGCAGAGCAAAGCTACGTATATATAGCTGGAACGCTTTCACCCCCAAGGTTCTCATTTCGTCTTATTCAACCATTCAGAAGACAAAGATATCGCACCATCCCAAGACCAGACCAACCACCTCTACTTAACTTTTATACCTTACCTACCCGAACTTTATTTAATATCTTCAATATGGGCTGCGGTTGCGGATCCGGAAACACTTGCGGTTGCAGCGGACCGAGTTCCTGCACTTGTGGACAGTCGTGCTCTTGCAAGGAGTGTGGAGTATGTTTGACATTCCTATACATACCTATTGTTGTGATGTGCTAATGGGGTTTTGTGTGTACAGAAGTAAATCGGTTTTCTCGATGGCTACGGACACATCCACTACTGTCGTCTTATCGGCTTCTCGAGTGAAGTTATTTGAGAATGGAGATGCGGGACGGTGATAATGTTGTTGTTGTGGTTGCTATTATGATATGAAATGAAATGAAATGATTGTATATGAACTGAGTTGATTCATAGTTAAGGGTGGGTAGAACTTGTAGTATTTTTTTGTAGTGGTGGGTATGCTGTAGTGGTGATAAGAAGGGATAGTAAGTTGTCTCATACCTTGCTGTGTAAGGAACACCACAGCTGTAGGGATCTATGCTGTGTTTCGATGTAGTTTGAATGGGAGTGTGCTACTCTTTCAGTTTCAGTTCTCTGGGGTCAATAACGTCATAGTGGGGCGATGAAGGTACGATAACGGGTCGGATGTATACGTATACAACGCACACGGATATACCATGCTATTAATATCTTATCTTTGGAGAGAATACTCGCATCACCATACGAATCACATAGAATCCCCCACCGAGCAAAGTCGCAACAGTAATAAATGCAGCCACAAGACCCACTCGGGCCAGTGCTTCAATGCCGCGTCGCGATGTTTTCGGAATCTTTTCTTCCTCCTTGACCGTCACTGCTTTATAGAGCGGCCCTGCATGAGATGGCTTGTATACAAAGTCAAAGAGCGACTCGCCTCCAAGCCCTTTCTCTCGGTCGGTTATCATGGTGTAATAGTATCGACGACGATACTGTCCCAAGTCAGTGCACACGCTAATGATCACACCACGAGAGAACGGACGTACCGCGATAAACCTCTGATCGAGCTTCGGAAACAATCGGGTGCCATATGCTAACGCCATGACAAAGAAGCAGTACCCGTATATCAGAACCCGATAGTACAGCGTGGGCTGAGGGATTTGAAGGCTATCAGAGAGTTGCTTCCCATTCAGTCGTCGAACCATAGCCTCCATGAATCCCATTGAAGCATGCGCTGGGGCTTTGTTCTCCAGGCCGCGGAGTATATTACGAGCTAGGACTCTACCAATTTTTATAGGATCTACCTCCGATACAAGGAGAGACTCCATTAGCGCTCGTGCGGTTTGCTGGCTAGCAAAAGGTTCGTCTGGAACCCCTAGGTAGTAGGCTACCAGCCTCCAGAGAGCTAGGTAGTCGTCCATCTCTTGCCTGCGGAGCCAAATACCTTGCCGGGGGAGGCCAAGCCAGATGATGATAGACGAGAAACTGCTAATTGTTGCGAGGCTGTCAAGGTCATTTATAGGGACTCCGTACCTCTCCTTGTCATACCTTTCCCGAACACAAATCAAGGAGCGAAGATAAGCATGCAGCAGCCGAACGCGGATGGATGAGATGTTACCGACACCGCCTGGCTTCATTGCGTCAACGGATTCAGAGACTTGAAGGATAAACTGTAGGGTCTCCAGTAGTCTCTTCCGCACGACATATATATGGTTGAAGCCTCCACATAAGGTTAAGGCCTTAACGACACTTGGTGAGCCCCTAAGTAGGAATAAGTCGAAGCCTGGTGGAAATTTCTGAGAGTGACTAACATGCCGCCCAAGAGGCTTTCGAAGTTCAGCTGGCATTTATCAGTGCTTATGCTTGGAGTTGTCACTAGATTAGATGCTAGACTTACCACGTTCAGGATGGGAAGCCCATAACGGAAGAACACCTCCTGTCCCCGTTTGATCTGCTGCCACTCAACCCAGTCCGGCACTGTGTTGACTTGTGCCCAGAGTTCACTAAGCTTCGGATCATCTTTTGCGTGATCCTTCAGCATGATGTACACATCCAAATCGGGTAACTTCCTGTCTGGATCATTTTGCCTGTCTTGATTAACTACCTGACGGCCGATATCGTTGATCTGGTCGATACATTCATCCCCAAGCCTGTCATAAGTGTGCATCTTTGAACGCAACTGTTCCCTCGTTTGATGAAGGGGCGTCCATGCGAACGTATGGTCCCAATAGGTGCAGATTTTTGATGAATCCATTATGTCGATTCGCACATACGAGGCGTCGTAGAAGGGACAACAACTGGGGCAAGAAGGATAGATGATGGAACTTGCGTGTCCTGAAATCTTTCACCTACATCTGGCGGAGTGCCATCACGTCACTTGTCTTCTACTTGTATCAGGGACAGATTTCTCGATCCTCCGATGAATTAATCCCCGGGCGAATAAAATGGTCCATAGAGGGCAGTTTCCATGGGATCAAAACGGAAACCTGTCAATGGCTTGTTAGGCAAGCAGACGACGTAAGAGGCCTCGAATGCGCGAGGAGTTTCATGTGGAATAGTCCACTGTTGGTGAAAGCGTATGGTTCTACGGAAAGTTCACTTCGCAGAGCGTAGAGAAGTCCTTGGGATGGGTAACTTGGGCGTTCGGTGTAGCGTCTTAGAGAAGGGTATGAAGCTCCCATCGTCAGAAGCCTTTTTCGATGGAAAGCAGCCTCTTGTTGGCTAACAAACTCCTACAAACCACTGAAGAGTTCCCAGAAGCAGTTACTATGGGCTTCCCACCCAACTTATCTTGTAGTAGAGAGGTGGACATGATGATGGCTGGTAGCTTAACATTTGATGTGGAGAGACCAAGAAGCTGAAGCGGCACCGTTGTGATAAGGCGGGCTGAGTAAACACGCAATACCGCAAGGACCACACGGGCAATCGCTCATCAGGGGCCACTAGTAGTTGATACCTCCGAATTGTCAATCTTCTAGACATTGTATTAATATTATGATTTTTCCGAGCGAATGCTAGGATTAGGTGTGCGACGACTCAAAGCACGCCCCTCGCTGCTTGATTTGATAGCGCATCACGAAGGAGACGAACAGCCAGTCGGTTCGAGGTCGTCATCACCGCCTGGACTAGACAGCCCGCAACTGCCACCGCTCCCCGTGTCGCCCACTTCATCATCCTGCAGCGACAGCTCCTCCTCCTCCTCTTCTTCTCCTCCTTCCCCCATCCATCCCTCCCCCTCCCCCGCGCTGTCCACTCCTGTCATTCACCTCCCTGCTTCACGCACCATGGCCCCCTCCGCTGATGCTGGCGAGAGCCAACATGGTTCCGTCTTCTCCGTCTCCGGTCCCGTCGTCGTGGCCGAGCATATGATCGGCTGTGCCATGTACGAACTGGTATGCTTCCCCATGTGTTTTCCCGCCGCCAGATACTGCGCTTCTAGGTTTACGCATCTGCAAATCTTAACCGCTAACACCGGGCATCGACTGTAGTGCCGTGTCGGCCATGACCAGCTGGTCGGAGAAGTCATTCGGATCGATGGCGATAAGGCCACCATTCAGGTCTACGAGGAGACAGGTACATCCGCCAACCCCTCCGGGCTCCCCACAACCTCGTTGTCTAACTGCCACTTTCTCTAGCTGGTTTGACGGTCGGCGACCCCGTGACACGGACAGGAAAGCCCCTGTCGGTCGAGCTGGGCCCCGGTTTGATGGAAACGATTTACGATGGAATTCAGCGGCCCCTGAAGGCGATCTCCGACCAGTCCAAGGGTATCTACATCCCCCGTGGTATCGCGGTTAACGCCCTGGATCGTGAGAAGAAGTGGGACTTCAAGCCCGGCAAGTACAAGGTCGGCGATCACATCACCGGTGGTGACATCTGGGGTACCGTTTTCGAGAACAGCTTGGTGAACGACCACAAGATCATCCTCCCTCCCCGCGCGAGGGGTACCATCACCCGCATAGCCGAGGCGGGAAGCTACACTGTCGAGGAGAAGCTGCTGGAAATCGAGTTCAATGGAGTCAAGACGGAACACAGCATGATGCACACCTGGCCTGTCCGTGTGCCCAGACCGGTCAACGAGAAGCTCTCGTCAGACGCACCTTTCATTGTCGGTCAGCGAGTGCTGGACTCCCTGTTCCCTAGTGTCCAGGGTGGTACTGTCTGTATCCCTGGTGCCTTCGGATGTGGAAAGACTGTCATCTCCCAGAGTGTCTCCAAGTTCTCCAACAGTGATATCATTGTCTACGTCGGTTGTGGTGAGCGTGGTAACGAGATGGCTGAAGTGTTGATGGATTTCCCCGAAGTTAGTGCCCCATCCTACAGCATACATATAGTGACTAACAAGCGATCGCAACAATAGCTTTCCATTGACGTCGATGGCCGCAAAGAACCTATCATGAAGCGTACCTGCCTGATCGCCAACACCTCTAACATGCCTGTCGCCGCCCGTGAGGCGTCCATCTACACCGGTATTACGATCGCCGAATACTTCCGTGACCAGGGCAAGAACGTGGCTATGATGGCGGACTCCAGTTCCCGCTGGGCTGAGGCTCTTCGTGAAATTTCCGGTCGTCTGGGAGAGATGCCGGCTGACCAGGGTTTCCCCGCCTACCTGGGTGCCAAGCTGGCTTCCTTCTACGAGCGTGCCGGTAAGAGTAACGCCTTGGGTAGCCCCGAGAGAATTGGCAGTGTCAGTATTGTCGCTGCCGTCAGCCCTCCGGGTGGTGACTTCTCGGATCCCGTCACCAGTAGTACCCTGGGTATTGTCCAGGTGTTCTGGGGTCTGGACAAGAAGTTGGCTCAGCGTAAACATTTCCCGTCGATCAACACGTCGATCTCTTACAGCAAGTACACGACGGTTCTGGACCGGTACTACGAAAAGCATCACCCCGAGTTCCCTCGCCTGCGTGACCAGGTCAGGGAGCTTCTGACCAAGTCGGAGGATCTGGACCAGGTCGTGCAGCTGGTTGGTAAGGCCGCTCTGGGTGACTCCGACAAGATCACCCTGGATGTGGCCGCCATGGTCAAGGATGACTTCCTGCAGCAGAACGGTTACAGTGACTACGATCAGTTCTGCCCGCTGTGGAAGACCGAGTACATGATGAAGGCGTTCATGGGCTACCACGATGAAGCCCAGAAGGCGGTTGCCCAGGGCCAGAACTGGTCCAAGGTTCGTGACGCCACCACCGACATTCAGAGCTCTCTTCGGGGCATGAAGTTCGAGGTGCCGACCAACGAGGCGGAAGTCTCCGAGAAGGTAAGTCAGATGCCTCCGCTATTAAGTATTGTGTATTCTAACTGTGTTGCAGTACGAGAAGATCCTCCAGCAAATGTCGGAGCGGTTCGCTTCGGTGTCGGATGAGTAGAGGAGGACATATTCACCGGGCTAGACCGGGGAGGCGTGCTGTCTATTTTATATTCCCGAGCTTGTAGCATAGCAAATTCCCAGTATATGTAGTTATTGCCGTTGCCTTGGAGAATTTCCGTTTCGAGAAGCTTCCATTTATCGAACGTCAGACTCAAGTAACTACTTAGGAGAGTTGTGATGTGTGTGAGTCAGTCAGGCAGCATCATTCAGTCATTTGCTGGAAGTAGACATTGTCTGGCCGCTTTTGGGTGGCCAAATCCACATGACGCGGCCTTGCCCATTCGCTCTCATTGTAGGGATTCCCAATGTGTGGTCCATCGGGTACCTCCATCCACAGTCGGGAGCCCGTTTGTCGCCCTTCCATTTGCCACTGTCAGGGTCCCGGTTCGGTGGGTAAACGTTTATCGTTTTTGGCAGGCAGACAGGCAGTGTAGGCCGCCGTATCGCTGCTATCGATTGCTCTGATCTGGACCGAAGCGAAACTCTCCACTTGGCCCTTCCCGCCTTCGCTCTCCCTCTTCCCTTTCAATCCACACCCCCCCAAACATCCTCCACGCATTCTGGTCTACACCCCCCTGAACGGACAATCGCTCTACGGACATTGTCTAGACTGTTGCTTTCTTTCTTCTATATTTACTGCCTTTATTAATTTGGAGCGTCCATCCTCTATTCCTCGTTGCCAGCCATGGCAAGCCCAACTACTGGCTTCTCGTGCGCAACCCCCTGGTCCCTCTCATGCTTGTACCTCCGATTCGCCTGGCTGACCTCATCGTGCCCGCAGGATAAACGTCAACGATCCCAGCTTGATCTCGCTGGTGAACAAGCTGCAGGATGTCTTTGCGACGGTTGGAGTAAGTCATCCCCTCCCGTGGAGCTCTCCTGCATCGCAGCCCCTCCGCCGAACTGACACCGCCTGTTCCATTTAGGTTCAGAACCCCATCGATCTGCCTCAGATTGCCGTCGTCGGTTCGCAGTCCAGTGGAAAGAGTTCCGTTCTAGAGAACATTGTTGGCCGGGATTTGTAAGTGGTTGACATGGTCCCTTCGTTTCTTGTCTGGTCGCAGCAGCCTAACCGGTGTTCTTGTCGTTGCCTAGCCTGCCTCGTGGTTCTGGAATTGTCACTCGGAGACCCCTCGTACTGCAACTTATCAACAGGCCCGCTGGTTCGCAAACAAACGGTGTGAAGGAGGAGGCCCTGGAGACGACGGATAAGGAGGCCAACATTGACGAGTACGGCGAGTTTCTTCACATCCCCGGCCAGAAGTTCTACGATTTCAACAAGATCCGCGAGGAAATTGTGCGCGAAACCGAGTCCAAGGTCGGTCGCAATGCCGGTATCTCGCCCGCTCCTATCAACCTGCGAATCTACTCGCCTAATGTCTTGACCCTCACACTCGTCGACTTGCCCGGTTTGACCAAGGTCCCCGTGGGTGATCAGCCCAAGGATATCGAGCGTCAGATCCGTGACATGGTTTTGAAGTACATCAGCAAGCCGAACGCTATCATCCTGGCCGTCACGTCCGCCAACCAGGATCTGGCCAACTCGGATGGTCTGAAGCTGGCGCGGGAGGTCGACCCGGAGGGTCAACGCACCATCGGTGTGTTGACCAAGGTTGATTTGATGGATGAGGGTACCGATGTTGTGGATATTCTTGCGGGCAGGATTATCCCTCTGCGTCTGGGTTATGTTCCGGTCGTCAACCGTGGTCAGCGTGATATTGAGAACAAGCGGCCTATCGCATACGCCCTGGAGCACGAGAAGAACTTCTTCGAGGGTCACAAGGCTTATCGCAACAAGTCATCGTACTGCGGAACTCCTTATCTCGCCAGGAAACTGAACTTGGTACGTTTCATTGACATGGTGGTCTGAGAACTTGAACTGACGTTGCTAGATCCTTATGATGCACATTAAGCAAACCCTTCCCGATATCAAAGCGCGCATTTCGTCCTCCCTTCAGAAGTACTCCTCGGAACTGTCACAGCTCGGTGACTCGATGCTCGGAAACAGTGCTAATATCGTCCTCAACATCATCACGGAGTTCAGCAACGAGTACCGCACAGTGTTGGAGGGAAGCAACCAGGAGTTGTCCAGTATCGAGCTGTCCGGCGGTGCTCGTATCAGCTTCGTGTTCCATGAGCTCTACTCCAACGGTATCAAGGCCGTCGACCCATTCGACCACGTGAAGGACATTGATATTCGCACCATCCTCTACAACTCCTCTGGTCCTTCACCAGCACTGTTTGTGGGCACCACTGCTTTCGAATTGATCGTGAAGCAGCAGATCAAGCGCCTGGAGGACCCCAGCTTGAAGTGTATCTCGTTGGTCTACGACGAACTTGTCCGCATCCTGGGTCAGCTCCTGAACAAGTCGCTGTTCCGGCGCTACCCCATGCTGAAGGAGAAATTCCACGCGGTTGTTATTGGCTTCTTCAAGAAGTCCATGGAGCCGACCAACAAGCTTGTGCGTGACCTGGTCAACATGGAGGCGTGCTACATCAACACGGGTCACCCTGATTTCCTGAACGGACACCGCGTAAGTCCCACTGGCATCCTACGATACCTACGATATACTGACTGAATAGGCCATGACTATCGTCAACGAGCGTCAAACCGCAGGCAAGCCGACTCAAGTGGACCCGAAGACTGGCAAGCCTCTGCCCCCGCGGGCGAACAGCCCGTCGGTTGAGGTTCCTGTGGACAACACCAACTCCGGTGGGTTCTTCGGCAGCTTCTGGGCTTCGAAGAACAAGAAGAAGATGGCTGCCATGGAGCCGCCACCGCCAACCCTGAAGGCGTCTGCCTCGTTGTCGGAGCGAGAGAGCGTGGAGGTTGAGGTCGTCAGTAAGTGCAGCGAAATTCCTCTATGGAGAGGCTGGATACTAATAATCAACAGAGCTCCTGATCACTTCGTACTTTAACATTGTGAAGCGGACCATGATTGATATGGTGCCCAAGGCCATCATGTACACTCTCGTCCAGTATGTATCCTCCGCCTTGTCCGCATGACCACCGCTGACCCCGTTTTAGGTTCACCAAGGATGAGATGCAGCGCGAGCTTCTCGAGAATATGTACCGCAACAGCGAGCTGGACGACCTGCTGAAGGAAAGCGACTACACGGTCCGCCGGCGGAAAGAGTGCCAGCAGATGGTGGAGAGCCTTTCCCGGGCCAGCGAGATCGTCAGCCAGGTTCAATAAGGGACGGCGTTGTTGGATGGTTAGTTTTGATCTATACACCCGGTTGCGTTCCCGTTCAGTGATATCATGCTGGGGCCTATGTTATGGGGGTTCTGTCTCGGAGGAGTTTATGCCTTATGTTTATACTTTCTTCTGATGCCAGGGTTCCACGGCCGCATGTGGTAAGACTGGACGACAGGTTTGACCAAGATTTTCACGAATTTGTATCGCCTAATGATTGTGGATGATTGTGGTTTTTTCCCCTTTTAGAATTCAGACGGTTGCAGTTTAGCAGTCAGTGCCATGATGTATAGTAGTGCTGTGCGGCGATGCTTTAGTACAATAAATATAGAGTAGTCATGAAACAAGCCCGATCAGAATAAGTTCACCCAACAATGAATTTAATGGATATTTGGACTGTTTCACTATCAGTCACTCAGTATGACTGATGTGACAGCAAGACACTATACCAGATCAGCTCTAGCTTGTAACGCAGTGGATCCTATTCACAGCTAAATGTATTCATTATGGACCAATAAGCATTGTTGATTCCTCGTCCATCCTACTAGTAGTCATCTTCTGTGCATTTGTCATATCTAGTGGGAATATCGATTCAGTGTACTGTTACAGTAGATACTGAGAGACAGACATCCCCGGGAATTGCCACTGGCACCTGCGTGAGCAAGGAAATTGCCATTTAGGAAATGGGGTTTACCAATTACTAAGCCGTAGGAAAGCTACTAACTATAAAATTTCCCAGATAATGTCCTGTAGGTGATGTATCCAAACCTCAGATGATATACAGGTTAGTGCTACGCTGTGAAGCTATCTTAGCGTACGATGTACTTTGATAGCCTTGAGAGTGACGGATGAGACAAAGATGAAGTGAATAAAACAAAAAAGAGGGGGGTTTATATTCACTGGGAACCGACCAGGGTGGAAGAGGTATATATAACTATCTTCCCATCTCGCTCTCCTGGGTGCTGAGGACTTGACTTTCTACTTCATATTTGACATCTCCCCTAAAATATGTTCTCTCTCTCATGATTGTCTTCCCTCTTCTCATTGGGGTTCAAGAAATTATAACTACGACTTTCTCCAGCTCACTCCTCTTCATAATATATACACCAATACCAACATGAAATGAACATGATGTTCCGCGACAGCGCCTCTAAGTTCTAAGTACTTAGCAAGCGGGTTACAGAAATAGCGCACACGTAAGAACAGTGTGAACCAGAAGCTCAATGCTTCCACCTAGTACTACTACAATCACAACTGTATCAACGTAATACTGGCCTGGCGTGGCATGGCACCAAGGTAAGTAAATCAGCCATCTCCCTGTCAGCTCACTGTCTCTGATAATCCCTACTAGTAGGATGTCTTACACCATCTCCAATACCTATATATATATATATATATATACTTATCTCGTGCAATGTCCCTCGACATGAAAATAACCAGAACAGTATTAAGCATATATCTGCAGGGCGCCAATGAGGATTCCATCTGCCGGAAAACAATCCTACCTTCGGGATATTTTGTGCTTGGCTGTAGCAACCACAGTATGACAGGCTACATTTGGACTCTCTAGATGACGCTTTGGGGATTGTCAATGTCTAGTTTGCGCTGGTGGATCAATGGAATAAACTATCTATGAGGTGAGTTAATCCCACTTCATAAATTACTCTATTTTTTTTTGTGAGGATACAGAGGCTAACTGACGGGAAGGTATAGGCCAGATGGCACAGCGAAACATTCATTGAGCGCATGATCGAGGATTTGAAATAGGGCAGAGGAGGAGAATAGGGATAGAGAATATGACGGATCAGTGTAAGGAAGATGTGTATATCTTGGTTCTACTTGCTACCGCCAATAGTGGTCTTTCTACCTGATACTGTTGAGTATTTGTGTTTCGGTCATTTGTGCTATGAAGCGGACATCAAGGATGGGTGGATGATGGTTTGAAGGATGTTGCGAGTTCATGAGGATCGGTGCTCCCTGAAGGCGAGGATCGATCAAGCGATCACAGGCTGAAAGATAGAAAAGCGCCAAAAACATTGCTTCGCTCGAAGAAACAAGCAAGCAAGAACGAAAGGAAAAGGACGCTATATCTGGATAGATAGACCATATAAGTATATATTGATCCTGTCTACATGAATTACCTCTGATGCCTATACGTATAATACCACCCCTCCTTAGCCAAATCCTCCCTAACACGATAATTCTCCTCCGCAATCCTCACCACCCCCATATCCATATCCACCACCATCACGCCCTCCTCATCCCCCATAGCACCCACCGTCCCCACAATGGGCAAACATACCCTCGACAGACCCAAGAACCGATCACTCTCGTCTTCCTTTCCCCTCGCCACATTGGCGAAGATAATCCCGCAGGTATTCTCAAAGCATCGCGCCGTGAGCGTCGTTTCAAGGAATAATGCTTCGGAGTTGGGGTTGTGTTGAAGGGCAGCGGGGGAGGCGTCGTATTTGCTCCCTATTGTTTCGTAGAACAATTAGCATATAGAACTACCTCAAAATTAACGGGAAGATGGAGGATCTTACAATAAGTAGGTATAACCACAATCTCCGCCCCCTTACAAATCAACTCCCGGAAGGCCTCCGGAAACGCCAAATCCCAGCAAATAAGCAACCCTACCTTGCCGATCGGTGTATCGAATACTTCATGTGGATCACTCCCGGAAGAGGTGAGGTAGGGCCGTTCAGGATGCCAGATGTTCTTCTTGCGGTAGTGGCCTAGGATACTCCCGTCGTTGGAGATGAAGTAGGCGGTGTTGTAGAGGAGTGGTTGTTGCTGTGTCGGGGAAGGGCCATGGTGTTCGACGATGGTACCGGGGACAATGCAGATGTTGAGTTCACGGGCAAGAGATTGGTATGCTTCGAGGTAGGGAGTTGTTTTGGAGGCGAGGGCAGTCCAGGTTGGGTTGGAGGGGGCCCAGCCGGTTAGGTGGTATCTAGGTTTTGGGATTTGTGAGTGAGTGTGTAATTGAGGAGGGAGATAGGAAGGGGGTGTAGTACTCTGGGAGAACGGCCAGTTCAGCGCCTTGGGATGCGGCATCACGGATGTAGGCGCATGCTGTTTGGTGGTTCTCGTCGATGGCGAGGTCCTGGGGTTGTTAGACTGAGGGGAGATTCGGGGTGGGGGAGAGGCATTGTGTACTTTGATGTTCCATTGAATGACGGCGACGCGGCGAGTTGGTGCCATTGTGGTTTAAAATAATTTTGTGTATTCCTTGATGCTTCGTGGGGATAGTAGGGAGTAGAGGGGATGTTAAGCAATTGTCGAGTTGGAGATGGTGGGTCAGTGACATCCCCGCATGGTGTTGGAGTCGAAGCTGGACTGATAAGCTGTGATAACGTTACGAAATTTAAAGATCTCCGCTGCACTGTCTACTCATTATTCATTACTAAGGTGCTAGTAGCTGAATGAATAAATGAATAAAAAAAAAAAAAAAAGCTACACCAAGGATGTCAAGTCGAGATATTGGTCAATACTTGGTATAAAAACAAATTATAAGCCAGGCACATATTAGTTCTGTAGCCGTCTGGGTGCAGATTATTGAGCGCCAGATTGCACGTCAATGCCACAGAAGCGTATCTGCCATTGTCGCAGTCACCTTTATCCAACCATACGGATGCAACGGATTAAAATGTATGTATTGCAGGTTAAAGAAATTCCCCGCACATATCTCATCGAGGATGACGCCAGTCAGCTGATGGGTAACACAAGCAACCCCAAAGCGGGAAGTGAGATCATCGACAGGAACAGAATGGATCACACGGCGGCCTCGGATGACTCCTGCCAAGAAAAGGAAAAACGGCATGTGAGGAGCTGCCCGGTTTTGACATGGTCCACGTCCATACCCTCTGATCACCTTTTCTGGATCACAACTCTCCCAGCTTAGACCTCAGATAGAATTAGAAGACATGGCACCACTCCTTGCCGAGGAAGTCATCAAGCATTCCGCATACAACACCATCAATTATGACCTCTCCGCCACAACGTCTGGATCATGTATCGTGGCGCAAACAAGGCGAGGAGGGCCCCTGAACATCAACTATGAGATCCATGGCACTGGCCCCGTGAAGCTCGTGGTAAGTATGAACATATGCCATGACCCTCATGTGCGGTAGTACTGACATGGGTCGCAGTGGGTAATGGGTCTCAATGCAACGCTTAAGGACTGGAGGCGTCAGACCAAATACTTTGGTCATCAGCACGCTTCGAAATATTCATGTCTAGTCTTTGACAACCGTGGAGTCGGCCGGTCGGATAAGCCGGTCGCCTATTATTCCACTTCGGAGATGGCTCGAGATGTGGTGGAGCTGGTCGCATCGCTGGGCTGGATCGATCTTGCTGCTCCTCCGAAACGATCGATTCATGTCATCGGTGCTAGCATGGGTGGCATGATCGCCCAAGAGATTGGAATGCTCATTCCCGATCGCTTATTGAGCTTGACCCTCTGCTGTACCGCTCCGCGATTGGTTCGGACAGGTCCATTCCTCGAAAACCTGCGTGAACGGGCGGGCATGTTCATTCCCCGCCATGTCGACATAGAGCTCGAGAGGATGGCAAGGAGTCTCTTTCCCGAAGACTTCCTCGCCGAACCCGACACGGAGTACGAGGATCCGGCGATGAACTTTCCGACCAAGCGTGATCGGTTTGCTGCTAGTATGCTGCATAAGCGTGCGGACACCGAAGCGCATACGAAGAAAGGATTCATGATGCAGGTGTTGGCTTGCTATTTCCATCACAAGTCAGCGGAGCAGCTCAAATCTCTGGGTGATCAAGTGGGGAGGGAGCGGATCTTCGTGTGCCATGGCACTAGAGACTTGATGCTGACGTTTCGTCATGGGGAAATAATACGCGAGGAGATCGGTGATGGGATCCAATGGAAGGTCTTTGAAGGCAGCGGCCATGTGCTGGGCTGGGAGAGGGAGCACGAGTTGAACAAGATGCTTGAGGAGTTTGTGGATAGATGCACCTGAAGATACCTGCTGGGGTTCTTCAAGAGATGTTACCATAGATGAGTGTATAATAGACCCAGCTGACCTTGACTGGACTGCCAGGGTTGATGCGTGAATGTAATCCTGGCTTGAAGGAACGTCGTATTCCAGGGGCCGCGATGCTCGTGATCGAGGCGCCGCAGTCACCCGTTCCTCAGCCTAGGCTGACCATTCCAGGCCCCTCCCGTCATGATGATGCATATAGAAAGCAAGCAAGCATGCCTGTCTAATTCCTCTCGTCCTTCGCTCCTCATCCTTGAAAATGGAGCTCCATAAGGGTCAGTACCATCCTGCGGGACCAGACGACCTACGCTCTCCGTGCCCGGTCCTTAACTCTCTTGCCAACCATGGCTACATCGCGCGCGACGGAAAATCCATCACCGCTGCAGAGTTGAAATCGGCCATTCGATATGTCGGACTAGGCCTAGACATAGCCTCTGTTCTCGTAAGCCGCGTCTTCCAAATTCACTCCGACGACCCAAAAGACGGACCACCAAGAAGCTCCCAAGTTGGGCTACGCGATCCAGGTCAAGTGAATCAAGACGGGATCCCCGTGCTCAACCTCGATCAAGTCGGTCGTCCTCATGCGTTAGAACACGACGTCTCAATCACCCGTCAAGACCGCGCATTGGGCGACTGCATCCACCTAGACCCTGACCTCTACAAACAATTCCTTCGAACCGCAAAGGGAGGCAGGTTTCACACCACGCTCATGGGAAGGTATCGAAAGGCCCGATATGATGAGCAGCAGAGGGACAATCCACACCTGCAATTCGGCAAGTTCGAACACTACGTTGCATGTTCTGAAGTGGCAGCTCTGCGAAGTGTCTTTGGGAAGGGTGTCACGAAGGGCATCCCGGATGACTATGTGCGTGCTGTCTTTGGCGAAGAGCGTCTGCCGTACGATGAGGGTTGGAGTCCACGACGGTTCAAGGTGTATTTCCCAGAGGCACTAGCGATGTTGTTAGTCATTTCGCACTATGCTTGGCCGTGGTGAACGCTAGATTGGGCTGCAGGGCGCTATTGAGGTGCAGGTTTGCTTGGCGGGATTTGCGATGGGATGGGACTTGCATAGCCGAGTGGTTTTGCGAGATGATTCTTTTTTATGTGCGATGCTGATCAAAGATCAAATGTTGGGTTTATTAGGCTGACAGCGGGCGCGCTATTGTCATATGTGCTTTTTGGGGTCGGTAATCATGAAAGACCAAATTTTGACCCCAATTGAAGATTACCCTGATCCATTGATTGTTTCTACTGAGTACAATATCATAGACTGCATCATGTCCTAGCTTAGCGATGTCTGGCATCTCTCACAATAGTCTTTGTATCTCTGCCCACAGAAGGCTTGTTTCAAGTTCCCCTCATTTGGCTGCACTTCTGTCTCGGTTCGCTGTTGGGGCCGCCCGTGTCGCTAAATTTAGAACAGATGACAGGTCGCCATGACATTTCCACTTCTTGAGCTAGAACCGGTTCTATATAACTATTTAAACCAGAATATCTTTTCTTTCCACAGCTGCTATATGTTATAGCAACTTCTTGAATGTCTGTCATGGTCATGGAGGTGACTAAGCTGCTGGACAGGGTCCAGGGGTCACCTTCCCAACTGAGACAAGCGTCGTCAGGGACCGTGCAAACAGAACATACGCTGCTGATTCTGGAAATATCTCAGACAACGCAATTGTTCCTTGCCTATCGATGATCCAGCATTGAGCTGCAGAGACAGTTAGAGTCATCTCCTAAAACCAGCCATCTCATTGTTTGGACCTTATCTTGGTGTTCCCGTCTTCTTCTCAACACATTGCACAGTTGTGGACGCAACCTCCGCATATAGAATTGCTCCAAGATTACTACTTCCCGGTTGCGACTGCTGATTGCCTAATCAGGCCATGATCGTTAAGGTAACGCCAGTCTGACTCGCAGATCTTTATGACACCATCCCGCCCGGCGACTTCATTTTCATCTCCTCAACTTTCTCGTTGTCAATTCTACTAGCTACATACATTCGTTACTAGGAGTATAGTTGGATACGCATCGTTTTATTATAATCGTATCGTTTTCTCCCTTTCTGTCTGTCCGATAAGCTTTGGCCATCATGGCCGATAAGCAGTACTATACACCCGGCACTGAATACAGCAGGTATGGGGGTGCCACCAGTCAGCTTCCCAAATTAGACGATGATCTCGGTCATGCAGGGCCACCCCCTCCGCCAGGATCCGGACAGTTTATACCACCGCAGCGGACGGTCGCGCAGTATTCCTGGTACGACCCTCGCGGCTGGTCGCTACGGAAAAGGTTGATCATCGCAGCCGTCATTATTGTCATCATCATTGCGGTCGTTGTTGGTGCAGTCGAAGGGACGAAAAAGAAAAGCTATCCCGACTATTCCAAGCTCGATTACAAGCTGGTGGACACGTATTCGGGCAACTCGTTTTTTGATCGCTTCAACTACTATTCTGACGAGGACCCCACTGATGGGTTTGTCCAGTATGGTTATCCCAATCCTTGACTCAATGGTATCAGCTAACGCTGTATAGATATGTCAACCAGTCAACATCAAACTCTTTGAATCTGACCTATGTTGGCGAAGACTCCGTTGTGCTCAAGGTGGATACCTCCAACAAGAATGCAACCAAAGGGAGACAGTCTGTGCGTCTGGAATCAAAAACAAGTTACGATAGTGGACTCTTCATCTTCGACATCATCCACACGCCTTACGGCTGTGGCCTGTGGCCAGCACTGTGGTTAACTGATACCTACAATTGGCCCGAGAACGGGGAGATTGACGTGGTTGAGACAAATAACCTGGCCACCGAGGGAAATGCCGTTACATTGCATACAACCAGCGGTTGTAAAATGAATGTCAAGCGGAAGGAGACCGGCACGCCCAATTACGTGACCTGCGACAACAGCACACATAGCAATGCTGGATGTGGCGTACAAGGCTCGCCAAGGACGTACGGACAAGAAATGAATGAAAATGGCGGCGGGGTAAGTCTCCCATTATGACACATAAGTCATACAGTGCATAGTATTGACGGCGATAGGTTTACGCTTTGGAACTACGGGATGCCGGAATCCGAGCTTGGTTTTTCTCACGAGATTCCATCCCCGACGACATCTCGAACTCGAGCGGCACGCCAGACCCATCGACATGGGGGACTGCATTGGCTGACTTTCCCAATACTCATTGCGATATACCATCTCATTTCAAAAATCAAAGTATAATTGCCAACATCGATCTCTGCGGACAGCTCGGTGGTAACAAGGCATTCTATACGGAACAGTATCACTGCCCGGGCACATGCGAAAGTTTTGTTCGCAGCAACCCTGGCAACTTCACTCAGGCGTACTGGGAGTTTGCAAGCTTCAAAGTATATCAGGCCAGTTAGATAGTTCGCTGGGTATAGAACTTTGTCGTGTTCGTTTCTTTGTTGGCTACGTTTATAGTTTTGTATCGAGAATGAGGTAATGGCTGATGCGAATGACTCGGATGGCGATTGTTGATCCTAGATAGATAGAGAGGGATACATGACAGTTACGAACCTCCAATAAGAAGATTGTTCTGATGATTGAGATTGCGGAGTAATCAGGTACCCTTTGTCAAGTAACAATCGATCGGTGTACATCATCGTTTCCTTAGTTCCATCTGGAAAAGAAATGAACAAAAAGCATCTGGACATATTCTCACCCAGTCAGAGAGCCGTGTGCCGTTTAATATGACACATTCAAAGACAACACTAGCATTTGCCAAGAGTATAACCCCCATCTTCAGCTGGGAGTCGCAAATAACCTGAGTACACCAAGATATAGACAAGCTAATTAAGAACAAATATGAGTTGAGGAAATCTCGTAGTGCCTTGACTATGAGACTCGGTTGCTCTTAGATAGCAATCGCAGTATATGCTATAAGCCTGATAGCAAAGTAACAGTAATTAGAAGGAGATTATGAGCACCTTTCAGCCTACCTCTCGCGGTAGGGGTACTTAGTGCTAGACCCTTTTTTCAGCCACTTATAGCGAAACATAGCAGAATATACTATATTACTTTATTGGCTAAATCTAGCTTAGTTCTCTTCCCACGTGCTTCTTTGGGTCCGGTGATCCGGGATTACTAGTGCTGATTGATACCTGTTCAATCTCCCTAACATTCAGAGTTAATTAACCTCGATACTCTCCTCAGTCAATATAAACTAACCGGACTGATGCCAATGCATCTTACAACCATGACTTCAAAAGATGTGCCTCTACTAGTCTATGTAAATTGTACGATAGATAATGCTGGACTAATATGTCCCCGTTCATACACCGCCACTTTATGTAGGTTTCCTCCACTATTGATAGTATCCAAGCGGAGTTCAGACATACCTTTTCTTTGACAGGAGATCAAAAGTAATGAATAGATATCGAGACGAAATGCTTTTTTAGTCCAAGGAGTTACTAGTTCGAATGTATTGGATGATGCATACCTGCATGCATGAACATGCAATCACGGCAGCTGAGTTGATTGGCTTTGCATATGGCGTGATGGGTGTCCGAAGTTTGACAGTTCGTATCCGAGCATGATGATTGTTGTATGCTGGTACTAATGTCCATGACTTGGTCCTTATTGCATCGGCTGGGAATCGCTAGTATGGTTTTACTGGGGGGATGGTGGACGAAGTAGTACTGTAGATGAAAGTCACTACATCTTGCTTGATGAAACTTGTAGTGGACATGGGAATATAGCTTAGCCGATGCAGTGTTTACCCGGGGCCCGGTTTTAGACTATGAGAAAATGTTGGGGAGATGGGGTTTTCTTTGTTAACTGCTCGAGATATACGCTAGACAGTGTAAGCAGATAGCGTTGAGCTTAGACAGGAGAGCAGTTGTAAAGCAATATAGTAAGGCTGGAATGGTACTTTTACAGGTCAATCCATGTTGTATGATGGGATACATACCTAAGCTCCCTTCGCACATGTACACAGTAAACGTGTTCGACTTCATAGTATAAATCCAAGCCTTATCCGAACAAGTCTCACAAAATAACATAGCGACTAGTTTCTCTGCAAACACAACGATTCACAATGTAAGTACCAACAAAACAAAACTAAGCCTAAATCACTATTAAAAATAGTAACATTTTCTTGATCATCATTACATTAGAATTCTACATAATGCACACACTGCATTCATCATAAACTAACAACAATATCCACAAACTATCCATCAAAATCTAAAAAGCTACTGCACAGTCATCACACATACACTATTAATACAATCAAAAATAACATACAACAAACTGCACCTTAATCAAACCATAACCACTAACACATGCAAGCCTCCCAATAGTAGCTATCCACTCATGCATACAGTACACAAAAAATAGTTATCCCGACCCGAACCCGACAAACCCGGATACAAAACTATAAGATAATTAATCCATCTAACACAAAAGATCTACTTATGTAAAAACCCAAACCATGGAACAAGCAAACAAATCACAAAATAACATTATAATAATACTAAGGTTACATCTGCAAGATATATTTATCACCGTATCATATTTGCTTATTTTTGGCCGTGGGAACCTGATTCGTGATGTGTCGACGGGGGACGCGTCATCGCGGTCCGGTTGGCATCGGGACTCACCAGGATGGATTTTGGGGGTGTATTTGGGTATAATGAGGGTGGGAGAGTCGGGTGTGGTATTTGGAGTGGGTATTAGGGGGTTCTTTTGTGGATATTGGGTATTTGGGTCGTTGTTTTGAGGTGGCGATGGGGAAGAGATATTGGACTTGGTTGTCTAGGGGGGTGGGTGTATACTCACTCACTCCTTGCTCATGATGAAGGGATTATAGGTTCTGGAGTACTGTATGTGTCTCTGCTAGGCATCTCCTTCATCGTACGAGGCAGAAAGCTATAATATACATACGCTATACCGGGTATACTGCTTATGATCTACTGGATTCGCCACTGCCCATCACCACCCTACCTACCTGCCAGGTACCATCTCTCCTATCTAGTCATCTCTTACGTTACATACAGCAGCCACAGACAAACAACTACTGCAGGAACGCGCCTCGCTCAAGGTTTTCATCGTCAGGGGTAAAAGAAGCTTGAAGGAGCCACAACCATGTGTTGGACGCGTGTCGACCTCTCTCTGCAGATTACTTACTTGACTTGGCTTTTGGTGGTGGTGAGAGATCTCATTTACCCCTGCAGGATGCATGAGACTTGACTTTTCTCTTTGGACGTAGTACCATGGATAGGAGAGTTCTATTCTTGTGTGCTGGTTATGTGTGGTGGATCGGATCGGATGTTGATATGGTATACTTTGATAGGGGTTCGTAGAAAGTGACAGTTGAGTTCGAGTAATTGATGTGTCCCTTGCTTGGGTGTCTGTGCTGTGTGTGCTTAAAATAGATGAGATGGGTGATGCTGTTTGTATTGGTTGATCAGGAGGTATTGTGGTTTGTGGTTAGTTATTGGTTGATGATTTTCTATGGTATAATATGTTTCTTGTGGGTTGGATCGGGCTATCTGTCTTGCTTAATGTTGTGTCGTGTGACAGGCTAGTATGGCCACGGAGGACGGATGGCTTACGCCGTGGCTGTTTTTGAAAAGGATTGGGGAATAGTTAACGTAGTTACGTTGTAGTTTATACGAACAACATAAAAAAAGCTTGATGTCTGGTCTGTATACTTCAGCTGGTTGCGGGTGAGATAGCCGTTCTCTATTCCAGCAGCGGATATAGCATGGATGCCAGTTATCTCCGGCAGCAATCTGGGTGGTCGCGTTACGCAGCAGAATACTACCGTGGCTCAGGCTCAGCCATCTCAGATCCCGTCGATCGATTGTTACGCCCCAAAAACAAGATCGCTGCAAAGTCTCTTGTAAAGTCAAATCGAAAACATGTCCAATTCTTTTCTGCCTTTTACTCACCCCTTTAACTCTCTCTCTCTCTCTCGCTCTTCCAAGTTCTCCCCTCTTTCTCCTGAAAGGGAAATTTCCGGAAACGCAAACACGATAAGCCCAACTGCGCCCATCCCGCAAGCCATACCGCCGATGTTGTTTTCGGAGAATAGCCAAAACCCACCCTCCACAGATCTCCACCGCGACACTATCATATGAGAAAAGGTCCATGCATGTAATGGAGGAACGGCCATTATCCACCGCGGAAAACCGTCCCATCCGCTGCCGTCCCTGGAACGAGTGGGAGATCCTCCAGAAGACGCAATCCCTACTTATCGTTGCAACTCCTGCTTGCGATGGGGAATAGTCACCACCATTAAGGCACTTGGGTAATCTCCGCATCGCAAGTAATCAAGTATCGCAATGCGTTGTTCACCGCAATCCGGTCTGACTCCGTGAGATTCGGTGAGAAGTTCTCCGTCAGTACTAGTCTTCTTCGTAGCTGCATGCGGTCATCATTACTTCTTCCTGGGCCTCCTTGCAGCGATTAGCAGAAAAAAACACGAGAGCGGATCCTCTAGAACAAAAACCAAAGAAAAAGAAAAAAGGAAGAAAAAAATAATAAAGAAAAGAAAAGAAAAGTCGCATAGCTAGTCTTGGTTCTTTGTTCGAATTTGACAACCCAGCAAACATTAATAATTCTTGCGCATATAGACCAGGTTCCGTGTTGCTTGCTATTATCGCGTTCTCTCTCTCTCTCCTCTCTATTCCCCCATCTGCCGTGACTTGGACCAGTCACGACATCCTTAGCGCAGGTCGCACCATCAACCGACTGGCCATCTCAGGAGTACCACCACAGCTCCCACAACTCTCCTCGTGAGACGATCATGGTACCGTCTGATCTCAAAATCCGGTCAGTTCTCGGCACATGGCAACTGCAACCACTGGGACGGCATTCGGGGAAAGGAGGAGAACCAAGAGGAGGGGAACCCCCCGGATTACATAATGGGGATCGCAAGGCTGCGAGATTTTTAGCAATGTTGAACGGCGAAATCTTAGTCGACGGCTGTGCAATTAATTCACTTAGATCGATCCAACAGATGCAGAAATACCCAAGCAGTGGATGGAGTAATCCTGGTAATAACATGCAAGGGGGGAGGCGGAGACGGCTTCGACGTGGTAGCAACAACTTGTTGTCGTCTCCAACGGCACTCATTCTTCATCTACTCCGTACTGCGGTTGTCTTTAGCAAGCGGAGACATTGATCGGAGGATCCTCGAGATAGTCTAGCAGAGAAGTACTGACAAGACGCTACTGCTGTTAGTCGACGGACTAGATGACCCCCATGAATCATCAGATCTGGGGATCCCCATCACGACATCCCGATGTAAATGGCAAGCTTCAAGGTGGTTCCGCCCATGCTCACGGACTCCCAACTGGATGACCGAGTCCTATTGGGCAGGGAGGTCCATGATCGACCGATGGCCTTCCGAAATGCCTGGGAGGCGCCCACTAGGCCGAGCTCTGGGCGAGACTAAGGAGACTAACCCGACCAAATCTCCCCTTCAGCCCGTCATCTGTATGCAGACATCCAATCACCGGGTGCGGAGAGCCCGGTTGCTTTACCTCCAAGTTGTGGCCTTTGGCACACACTCACTCTCACACACCATGCCTATAGTGCGCTTTGATTGACACGTCAGGCCAAGCATTTGTGGGGGTGAGGATGTGGCCGGGAATGAATGGATGACGCTATGATGGTGAAAGGGGATATGGGGGGGAAGGACTGCCAGGGCAGACTAAGAGGCTGATTGTAGTACTTTGTTTACTACTTGATTTAAGCCACACATTCTTGTCCATGTTAAGAGTTGACACGGGTGAGGCGGCCCGAGGATAACCACTGTACCCAAAATTTATAGTAAGGGCCATTTATTGCCTCGTTTACTTGGGACCAACCAACCCACTCATCCAGGGGACTCTCCTGAATGGTCCAAGTAGATTCTTGCTTCTTCGAGACCCGAAATCCGAGGTCAACCACTTCTCGGACGCAGCGAGCCTGAGGAGTCATGGGGTCCCAAAAGGGTAATGTGATGAAGACCAGCCGATCGATCAGGTGCCTAACATTAAGGATATACCCTAAACTTTGCCTAGCCCGTAATATTTTCTTCTAGTTAATTTTTTTTTACTTCTTTTTTGGTGTTTTCTTTTATTATGCATTATTTCGTATTTGCTTTTTCAGTTCCTCGCTACGACGAACGCGGGGGAAATCTTGCAGTTGTCTTGGTTGCTCTCTCTCTCTGATAGTGGCTTTGTTCCGTTGCCTGATTTTCCTCCCCCCCCGTAACCGACGGATTAGGTCTGGCCGGTTCTCAACCCTGCCCTGGATCCATCCGGGCATTCAGCCACGGGCTCCACGTCGATGCAAACAATCGGCATTAGAAATGAGCCATATACTACATCCCATGGAGCACTGTCGTCACTAACAACTAGTCGCTTCGACTAAAGTTAAAGCTATTTCCGAAGGCGTGATTGGTTTGGGCCGCTGCAGCAAGGGAGTCGACACCTACTATCGCTCGACTTTAGTCTACCTCATTTACGAGAATGACCCGAAGGTCAATGCATGCGTAAGCTCAGCTGGATCTCTAGCGTGGCCCTTACTTGCAAGGCTACTACCTTTTCTGCAAGCATTGTACTGACAGGCCCGATGTATACCGGCCGAACTATTTGTACATAAAGGGCCCTTCCCTCGACTGACAATGTATCCTGGCTGAATTGAAAACAGCAATTCCTTTTCTCCTCCTCCATTTCCCTTTACCCTCCTCTTCCTTTTTCTTCTTTTCCCTTTTGGAGGATTCCCCCTTAGCCGCTATGCTTTCGTTTGTCTTGCTTCTTTGTGTAGCGTTGGTCAACGCCTACTCAGACCCGGGTGCATGCTCGGGAACCTGCTGGGCTCACGACCCCAATGTCATTCGCCGTGTGTCGGACGGAACCTACTTTCGTTTCTCGACAGGAGGTGGCATCCATATCTCCTCTGCCAGCGCTATCACTGGTCCCTGGACTGATCTCGGGTATGCACTGCCTGACGGATCTATCGTTTCAGTGGGCAATGCCTCCAACCTTTGGGTATGACACCGACAGGCCCTTGACTTTACCCCTGCCATCTGCAGTACTAACATTCCTGCAGGCTCCGGACGTACACTACGTAGATGGCACCTACTACATGTACTATGCTAGCTCTACTCTGGGCAGCCGGTCTTCCACCATTGGAGTTGCAACCTCCACCACCCTGGAAGCCGACTCCTGGACCGACCATGGCGAGATCGGTGTCACCTCGTCGTCGTCTACTCCCTACAACGCCATTGACCCCAACTGGATCACCATTGGCAGCACTCCCTACCTCCAGTTCGGCTCCTACTGGCAAGGTCTCTACCAAGTGGAGATGACCGACTCCCTTACCGCCAGCAGCAGCAGCCCCACCAACCTGGCCTACAACGCATCGGGTAACCACGCCATCGAGGCTTCTTACATGTACGAGTACGGAGGCTACTACTACCTCACCTTCTCGTCCGGCACGGCTCAGGGATACACGACCTCCCTGCCTGCCCAGGGCGATGAGTACCGCATTGTCGTTTGCCGATCCAAGACTGGAACGGGTAACTTTGTAAGTGCCATACCTAATCATCAATATTCAAGGAAATGAAGCAAATGCTAATATTACCTGCAGGTTGACAAGGATGGCGTCTCATGTCTTAACAGCGGCGGAACCACCGTTCTGGCCAGCCACGACTATGTCTACGGCCCTGGTGGACAGTAAGTTGACCCCTACTATCATTTCCCCCCTGTCTTTGTGGCTTGTCACACATCAAATGGGAAGCATGCTAACAGCGATCAATTGCAGGGGTATCATCAACACCACCAGCCACGGTATCGTCGTCTACTACCACTATGCCGACAAGAACATTGGTCTGGCTGTCGACGACTACCAGTTCGGCTGGAACACGCTCACCTGGACTGATGGGTGGCCTGTTGTGGCTTGATTTCATTCTTTCTTCTATACATACATACATACATACATTCTACCGGCGGTCCAGAAATGGACTCGGTATTATTTGCATGATGATACCTGCGTTCGATTGTATTTAGCTAATTACGTTAATTCGTAATGTTTTATATTGCGATTTAATATATACATATTGAGACTGAACTTTCTTTTGAAATAAGGGTAGAATGTCTGTAGGGAAAATGAAGCGTCTCGGATAAGAATGTCAACAATAGGAGTCACTGGAAGGGGCGACATATCTATTTCTTATCCTTATCCCTCATCCCTCCATCCCCCTTCAACATTCCCCATCTCCCATCTCAATCAGCCACAAAAAGCAAAAATGCTCACCCCGTTAAAAAGCCCAGGCAACAAAACAAACACAACATAACATACCAACCCTGCGGACCGCACCTAAACTCAATTGTGGAACAATCGAATTTCTCGGTATTTCCATCCGAAGAATTTAATTTACTACTCCCACATTATTCTACACATTGCCATTGCCACCCAACTGAAACAAACAACTCACCAACATACTGATTCATTTAACACACAATGTGGGAAGATAAGAAAATTTGATGGCTCAAATTCTGCATTCAAGCTAGCCAAGCTGTCATTTCCACTGTCACTGAGCACGGACAGGACACATGCTGCAATTCTCCGCTGTCTGAGACATCTGTTTGTCGTGTGGCGCTGCCATCCCTGTCGGGGACACAGGGAAGGATGGGACAAGCTGCAGCTAGTCTAGTCTACTCTGGTTTAGCTGCAGGGGCAAACTGGCCGTTTCTGACAGGTGTGATCTGATGGGTGGATTAGGGGGATCCTTGTCGTGGTCGGTGGTGGAGGTTGATTTTTGTTTGTTGGTGAGATGTTGGATTGAGTTTTTGTGAGTGGCCTTTGAGCCTGGTTGTGATGCATGAGTTTCGTTTGCTTTGGTGTGAGGGATGGTGGTCTGATGTTTAGTCTAGACTGATCTGTTGGGTTTGGGGATGCTGGGATGATGATTATGATGGAGGTTTTGTTAAAGAGTGATGGTAGTTGAAGCTGTGTTGGATGTCTATATATATGAATAGCTTCATCTTAGAGAATGATTGTCGACAAGTCTGTTCTCTTTTTACTTCTCATCGTCTATATAATATATACCATGATTCTCTGAATTATTTATTCTCCCCTTGTTGATGAAACTCGCGTTATACATGTCTGTTCGAAGCCATCGGCGACATACGCATCCTGGCACAGTCTCCATACTATGTATATCTGCCGACGATTGCTCCACCATTCCTCGCTCTCCCTCATGCGATCTTGGTGGATGTCTTGAAGCTGCCAGCAGGCAGGGCAGCAGCCTCGATATTGCAGCTCTGGTGTGGAAATTAGCCAAATGGCTAAGGCTCAGTAGCTAAGATCGATGGCAAAATCAGGCTTCTTAAGAGACATCGGGGGTGGCACACTTGGACCCGGTGTTCAAGCAGGTCTACATATCAGTGGCGAGGGGTCTTACTCTGTTCTTGCTTATCGGGGTGCCATTTACAGACTCTCTGATCGCTTGCTTTCTAGTTATATTCTGGTGGATAGTCATTGTCTCTCATCTCGACGGTGTGTCTTTGCTGGTGCCATCCTCTGTTCGGACACATTACCCACGTCATGTACTATTTTATATACTGCTTTGTTATTGATTGTTCCTCAATCTCCTTATGTCATTTCGTTTACCAAAATTGACAGCCAACATCGCTATATATGTATACCTTTCTTTTATTCTCTTTCCTATCCTTCATCATGATTCCATAGCCCATAGCAGCTGCAGTGGGTGGGGTTGTTCGCATGAGAAGAGCCAAGATATGGACAAAACCTGATAATGGCGTGTCCCACGCACATGGGATTTGATACAGGATTTTATCTGATATGAGCTGTCTTCCAACATGGTGAATCCACATCTATCAAACTCAGAGACTGCGAATTAACAATCTGTCATAGACAGGAAAACCAAGCTATGGGGTTCAACAACTGACATCACTGTTCTTCGTGCATTGGCAGTGTGGCTTTTCTGCAATCACGAATTTTTCAAAAAGCCCAATGCTGTTGGCGTATCGGAAACATCAGGCCGACTCTACCAAGTTCTTGTCAGTAGACAACGCCGAGCAGGCACATCATGTCTTGTCTTCTACAGAGGGTATCGTCCTACATCAGATACCGCTCGACGCCGTCTCGGTTGTCTTTCTCAATGAGCCTGTGGCGTAATAACATTATGGCCTTGCCACACTGTTTGCTTGGAATACATCTGGATGCTCAATGCACTCTGCCATCTTTACTGTGGCGTGGCCCGACTGCAGAACCGATTGACCTAGACACAACTCAACTGAGCCTGTTGTATTTCGCCGGATACAGTCTGCTCCCCTGCGCCGCTCGAGGTTGACTAGGGCTGCCGAGAGAACATCGAGTCAATTTTTGACGAAGCGACACTGACAAGTCAGTTACGTTGGATTCCATTCTGCGTCGTGCGGTCTCCAATCTTGATGGTCTCCGAAGTCAGCTGTATTCATGCGGATGCACTGGTCCTCTTGAGCTACCGTTCCTCGGTCATCTTCATGTCCTTGAGGCCGAGTAAAGTGACTGGGTTACAATCCTCACTACTCTAATCGCTACCGTGAATTCCCCTGGTTGTGACAGTAACAGCGAACCCGATGCGCCCATGGCGTAGGCATCTGCTGAAGATGTCTTCTTGCATGTACCTCGGGCGACATATTGGGGGAACTAGCTTTCGCTGCAGCGAGTTATGCCTCACCAGACATCGCGGCTGCCTTTGGCTTGGGTTGAACATTTGGGGTCATCGGTCAAGCCAGTGGTTGTCCTATGCTTCTGAACGGATGTAGCTTGCACTTCACCTGTCTGATCCTCTACGAATGGCCGGTGCTACATATTCAGGAACTCAATAATTTGCTTTGAAGTGATTGCGGTTAGACGTCTATCTGCTTTTGTGATGTAGGCGGAGGAACGATGATGTTGTTCCTCTTCTTGGGTGACATCTCCGACATTGGCTATGTCGGTGTTCAGTTCTGTTGGTTGGCTGAGAGTACGACTGTGTGTGACCTTGGAGGGACAATACTAGCACATGTCAATCGGCGAAGTGGATATTGGGTTTGGCAGCGCCAGTAAGACTGCAGTTGTCTGCTCACCTTATGGGAAACTAATTACGTTGAAAGAAATCGTATGGACCTGGCAGAATGCATTAAAGGTGCCAACAAACGTCGATGAACCTCGGACTGTTAGGTTTATGTCCTGACAACAATATTCCAGATCCATTAGATACCATTGGTGGAAAAACCCGTTCAGTAACAACACAGAACCCTCAGGACTGTCTTCTTCATATAGCAAGACTGCGAAAGACATCTATATTCTCTATCACTGGACCTAAAAATCTCGGGCCTTGTTGTATGCTCTTTCGTGAGATGAGAGGGCGGCTGGTAATTACACCCCCATCGTTGACGTATATAGACATCACTGACAATGCTGCAGCTGCACGAAGTGCCCTCTAGAGAGACAAAGTTCATTGCCACTCTGGACAAGCGCCCCTGTATCTGGCCAAAAGGAACTCACTTGGGGCCACAACGCAGCAAGTTCCTCACCTGGTTCGTCTTCCAGCTTCCATAACAGACGATAAATTCAGACTTTGACACAGCTAACGGTATACTTAGTCGAAACTAATTTGACGCAATAGTATTGTGGATGATATCAACTCGGTGTTCATGGGGTTCTACACCACGAAGCCACTCAAGTCGAAGGCTGTAGAGCTGACCAGAAAACCCGCGCTTCCTAAGCGGTTCTGCCACCTCGATCGACAGTGGCACCCCGGGAGTCCGGCGTGGCCTTGGTTCAGATGACGGATGATTGCACTGACTTCACCGGCTATAGCCACGGGGCGCAAGAGCAGTACCTTCTGTATCATACGATGCCGCCACCTAAAAGCCGGATACTTCTTTAATATGCGGGGCACACTCTCCGGAAGGCTCGAACTTTTGCCGATATGTAGAGTTATCAGAGTTGACTTCGGAACCACAAGTACGCCACTGTATCGCGCTCAATGCTCACTCACTTGCTAACCACGTGGCCCATAGAAACAGTGGGACCTGGGACACTATAGCGTCACACCGGGTTTCCTTTCGTCGCAATGACACACTGCCCAGGACAAGAATACCCATTCTGTGCGAGTTCGCTATTTCCTCACCAGAGGGCGTGAGAGCAGCAGCAAATCCGGGGTCTAATCTTGCGGTATGCTAGATGCAGAAATCCACGATAATCAAATGTCCGCATTATCAGATCCGGAGCACAGAAGTTTGCTCCGTCTGATGATGGATGGTGGATAAGACGGAATCACCGATAAGAACCCAATCTATTATCGGAACCGACAGAAGGAGTGTGCTTCAACCTGAAAGAGAACAGATGGGCAATTTGAGCACGGGCCCTATCGTAACCATCAAGCGAGGGCAAAGGATTTTGCAAGGGGCTCTAGAACTCTCCAAGATCACGATGCAAGAGGCATCAGAGCTGGTTGCTTTGGTCAACCATTACCAAAGACTGACGGCTTTCATGCGAGCTAGTACATGGCTGGATGATGTTGCAGTGACCTGACGTTGTTGCCAAAGGCTGGCTTCGCTGGCGGTTTGCCATAATATATAGGTCGGAAGCGCAATCTGAATGAGCCTCCACTGGTAGACCATGGATTAAACCCTTTTAAGCGTTGCTGGTGGAGAACATACAATGGCTCCTGCTATCGCATTCTATCCCAACAGCACATGCTATTCGCATGGCACGAGCGTCCTTGCATCCACTGGTCATCTAACCAGTTCAAACTACTCCATTCAGCCTATCCCACGACCAAATCACGTTTTTCCTTCTCAAAGTTCGCACGCCAATGCACCCTAAGCCACCAGCGAATACACACTCCTGCTACAGAATGTTCGCCTGGCAGGAAGTATTCAATTTGTTGCAACACGCGACCTTTTATTGCAACATCGTGAAGCAACACCAAATGAGAGACGGCGGAACAAATCACGAAGCGCCTCAGAGTAGCATGGTTCAAGCTGCTCTTGGACTGTGTGTATAAGTTTAGGCGCCAATCCAATGGCCCAATACACCCACAA